TCAGGGTCCCTGAGATCCGTATGAATGTCAGGATTGGCTTTTCTGTATCTGTAAAAAATGGCATTGGGATTTTGACAGGGATCGCACTGACTCTGTGGTTCGCCCTGGGTGTCCAGGCGCTTCAACAATGTTCAGTCTTCCAACCCATGCACACGGGACGCGTTTCCACATACTTACGTCTTCTTTCACCTCTTTCAGCAATGTTTTGTGGTTTTCGGTGTACAAGTCTTTTGTCTCCTTGGTTAAGTTTATTCCTTATACTTTACTCTTCTTGATGCTATTATAAATGGAGTTCTTAATTTCCTTTTTGGATATTCATCTCAAGTGTAGTTCATCTCAAGTGTACAGAGATACAACTGATGCTTCTGTATTTTGTATCTCACAACTTTTCTGCATGTATTTATCAGTTCTAGATTTTTTTGTGTGGATTCTTTAGGATTTTCTACATATAAAATCATACCATTTATGAACAGAGCTCATTTTACTTCTTTCCCAATTTGGATGCTTTTTTTTGGGGGGGTGGCTAATTGCTCCAAGTGGAAGTCAGAAGAGGGAAAGTGTCCAAAATGAAGGAAGCTAGAGACCTCTGCATGGCAAACTCCTTATTCGCGGCTTTGTCTATTGTGAGGCGCAGGAGATCCAGTGTTCACTAGTATTTTCTCAAATAAACTGGTAACCAAGCAAGGTGACCTAATAACTACTGCCAGACAAATAAGTGGATGTTTGATGGCTACCAATTCCTAAAGACGTTCCAACAAGGAACTGGCCCCTGCTCATCTTTCTGAAACATTTCTACACACAACAGGAATGCGTACCTTAGGATCCACGAGGGCCCCGGCCTTGATGAGGTACTTCACGGCATCTAAATGGTTATTTTCTGCTGCTTCCATCAGTGGGGTTCTCTGGTCTTCTGAGCAGGTGTCAATATTCGCGCCCGCCTAGTGGAACCGGACAGTTCAGGTGCGTAGAGAGCTCCCACTGCAGCCCCCACCTGGCATTCAGACACTTCAGACACTTGCGAGCTGAAAGATCTCGCGAGTTGTGCTAATATCATTTCTAATGAGTGTAACTGAGTCTTCAGAACTGAAATCAAAGACATGATTGCTCTACTAGCGTCAAACCTTCAGCTCAAGAAGAGCATTTTCTTAACAGAGAATGTTTACAGCACATTAGTGACAGTACTTTTAGAAATGAGAAGTGATAACCTTCTAAAGCAGGAAAAGGAGGGGGCACCTGGGTGGCTCAGTCAGTTAAGCGTCTGCCTTCCGCTCAGAGTCCCGCATCGGGCTCCTTGCTCAGTGGCGAGTCTGCTTCTCCCTCCGCCTCTCCCCCCATTTGTGTGTGCACGCTCTCTCAAAAATAAATAAAATCTTTTAAAAATAAAATAAAATAAAGCAGGCAAAGAGGGATGTGGAGGGGGCTGCTCAGCAAGGCTGGGCCAGAAGGCAGGCAGTGACCTGGCCTACAGTGACCACAGGGACATCCTGACTCAGTGACCTCTTTCTCTGGCTGTCTTAATGCTTCCCAAAATAAACAGAATAAAAGCTGATTCCCAATATTATGTATTTTGAAGCAATTTCTAATTCTTCCAATAGACTATGTATTTGGAAAACTAATGGTCTAGCAAGTATGCTTAGATAAACTTCAGTCTGTTTGAAACTTAAGAAGAAGGTCCAACTTTGAAACGTGTTGTGTGCTAAAAGCAAACTGGATGTCTCACAATTAAAACCCTTTCCCCGTGGGGGTAAAACCGCCCAATTTCTTAAACTGATGTACCACAAGCTAGTATTTAGTTTATAAAATAAGTATTTATCAGGAAAAGGCTGAGAATAGTATTGTTTTTACTGTTTGTAGTTAAAAACAAAAGGAACAAAATGAGTTAAAAGATTTTTAAATAGATCCAGAGTGGTACACAGGGAAACCAGGGGACTGAGGTGGTTCGGGGAACCCTGAACGTCTTCTGGCAAATTTCAGAGGGCAGGATGGGGCTGGGGACCACAGGCAGAGCTGAAGACCAGGCACTAACAGAAGGTCAGGGGTCAGAGGACCAGGCCCCTGACCTTCACTTAGACCAGGGTCAGACCAGGCCCTGAGGACCCACGACCGATTCCCAGTGTGCCCATCCGAAATCAGGGGCAACAAGTGACAGAGGCCCTCATAGGGACACACAGACAAACCAGAACTGACACCACAAAAGTTGGCCCAGAAGAAAGTGATCGTCGAAAAGGTAGGGAAGACTGAGAGACAAAGCCAAAGAATCCCTGAGAACCCTGAGCCGGGGGAGAAGACAGAGGAGAGCAAGTCAAACCAGGAGGTCCCCACGTGACTGATGGGATTCCCACCAGAGAGAATGGTGAGAACAGGAAAGTGGGTCTTAAGGGAAAAGTCCCAGTTCGTCCAGCAGGATGGACTTAGTACAGACTCCAGGACAGACACACCACAGCCCAAGTGCTGGACACCAGGCAGGCCCCAACGCCCACACGTTCCCCAAAACCTCCCTGTGTGACCGTGCAGAGTGTGCAAGACCCCGTGTGGGTGTGCAAGGTGTGTGCATGCACCGCGTGAGGTGTCTGCAGTCCACGGCAGGTCCTCGAGCTCAGAGGTCAGCGCAACAGGTGTGGCTCTGTCCCTCTCCTCTGGGCTCTGTGACTAACAGAACATACACCTTTCTCTGTTAGGAAACACCTCACAGGCTCCCGACAGACGGCAACCACAGACACAGAACACTCACACAAGGAGGACAAGGCAACGGGGCACCCTAGAGTTGGGGAGCAGAGGGAGGTGACCTGCATCTGGACCCAGGGCAGCTGTCATGAATGACCAGTGGCAGGGATGCTCACACCGCGGATGTCCCCGGGGCTGGCCAAAGGCCGGCATGAACTGCTGGAGCTGGATGTGCTGCATCTGCATCCGAGACCAGCAGAGCACCCTGACCACACAGCCCCTGAGCATGGGGAACGCCGCTCAGGGCCTAAGGAGTACATACTTCCTTCCGTTTAATTTTGTCATTTAAATCCAAACGGCCACGTGTGGCAGCGGGCCAGGGCCCGAACGAAACAAGAGCTATTTCCAGTGAGGCCTCAGGATGAAAGTTAAACAGGAAGGAAAGATCTCAAAACTGCTCTTCACAGGCGCTTCTGGCTGTGAGGGAACGTTCCTCAAACCCCGAGAGCACAGGAACCCAGAAGAGTGCGGGCTAGCAACCCCAGTCAGCGGCTTCAGTGCCGCTTTGGGGCTGGGGAGAGGGTGCAGAGCCAGAGCCTGCCTAGTGGACGGTGTGGGGTGAGAGACACCCCACCAAAGCTGAACCTCCTAGAAGCAACACCCTTGGATTCAGGGAAAACTAGAAAAACCCACCGCACCTCTTTCCTGGGGAATCTCAAGAAAGCAGCTCAGGTTCTAAAAGAAGAAAAATACTCATAATCACAGGCTCCCAAGCTCAGGGAGTGAGCAGCCTGGGCCATCGACATCAGGTCAGCACAGAGGGTCACAAAGAACACTAGAAAGGGCTGGTTTCCCCAGTAAGTCACATTTTATTTTGCAACAGTTTAAGACACAGAGAAGCTGCAGAATGGCAAGAGCTCCTGAGCTCTCGGCTTTCCCAGGACGGTGCCTCACACGAGGGCAGGAGGGGCAGGACCAGACCAGAGCACAGGCACACTGCCCCCCACCCCCGTGCCCACAGGCATGAGTAGGGTTTCTGCTCTTGGACTGAAAAGAAGACACACTAGAATTCCTACCGCGTGACTCGATGAGCATAAAGCGGGGAGGCAGACACAGGTAAGCCACATGGTGATCAAACCAGAGAGATGCAGAGACCGAGGCTGTGAGAGCCTGGAGAGCCATCCCCTCCAGCGGGGGTGGGCAGGGCTGTGTCCTGACCTGGGCTGAGGTAAGTGCCCTTCACGATTATTTATTAACAGGACGTTCACATGTTAAGAACTTTTCTGTATGCATCTTAGACACACACACACTTTAACGGTAAAAAAAAAAAAAAAGGCCAAAGAGAAAACAAGTCCTTTCAAAGCTAACTTCCCAAAAGAAAGCACAGAAGCTGGAAGACAGTGGAATCATTCCTTAAACAAAGTGAAAGAAAACAACCAGCAACGTCTCCCAAGAAGCCCCCACACTGGCCGCTGAGATGAGGAGTAGCCTGGGCAGCCCCTCACCCAACGCAGCCCACAGGACCATCAGGGCGACCCTGCCCCACCTCCTGCCTCGCCCCTGTCCTGCAACAGTCCCACACAGCACTGGGCCTCCAGTCCGCCCTCGCAAAAGCACAAACCACGTCCATGCCCTCCTCGCCACGGGGAGAAGACAGCAGTCCCCCTGGAGTGCTGACCCCCAGCCCTCCCCCCCTCAGAGCACTAGCACCCGTGGTCACTGCTTCGATGACCATGCCCGCTGCCCTTGACCTCTCTCCAATGAGCTCGTTCTCCGTCAGATCAGCCACCCACCACAGTCACCGCCAAGAACCATCCCCTGCAGGACCACTCTGAGCAGCCCTCTCGGCTGCCCCCGAGTCCTGCCAGGCTTCTCCTTGAACTCACCTGAGGCCTCCATGGGCCTCCCCACCGAAATGGCTCAAGCTCACCAATCCAGTGCAAGGCCTTCTCCCCCCAACTTGGCGTCTGCAGCTCCCTCATCTTGCCTGTCTAAAGACGGAGGACATAACACCTGCACAGCAGATCACAGAGTGACCTCTGGAGGCAAGAAAGAAGAGTCTACAGCCTCCACGTGAGTAAAGAGAAAGGAAATGAGATGATTGAAGCAAATATCAACCCAAAAGAAAGCAACAAAGGAGATTAAAAAAAAACATGTCTGCTTGAAAGGACTAAGAATCAAAACAACAAAATAAAACATCAGAAATATATTTAAATGACAGAAATTACAGTAAATATTATCTAGACTAAAAGTTCCTATTAAAATACCACGGTTATCAGACTGAGCTTTTAAAAAATCTAGCAACATGCTACTTAACAAGACACATCCAAATCAGAGGCTCTTTGGCACGAGGGGGAGCTAGAAATCTACACTAACAGGTGTGTCTACTGTAAAAGAGACGCACGCACACGTCGACGCGACTGCGAACTGCTCCGCCCACACTGCTGCTTCCATCAGCACCGGTCAGAACAAAAAGAAAGCAGGTGAGTGGGGACGCACCAGCAGAAGCTGTGGCGTCAAGACAGAAGACACACACGCGAGGCTGAGGGAGGGGAGCAGCCCCGGCACTCTGGCCGCTGGCACTCTGGCTCCCACAGAGGCGCAAGGAGGAGACAGCCCACATGCGCCCCTCTCCAGCCAGCAGTGTCTGCGGGGCACCCGAAAGGGACAAGGCCGGGACCCCCCCCCACCAGCATTTTAGTACTTCAGATGTGAACAAACAGGAATCATCAGGCATCTGAGGAAAACCTTTAAAAAAGAAAGACCAAAACGAACAGAGCAGCATAAAACTTCAAAATTACTGTAATACCTTCAAAGGAACAAGGGAAGAGCAGAGGTACAAAAAAGGAACTCTCAGGGAGCAAGCAAGGACTCTGGACCTCAAGGTGTGACTGCACAGATTAAAATTCCCCAGAGGAGCTGGACGGTGAGGTCAAGAACACTGCCCAGCAAGTGGAACGGGAAATGAAGAGCAGGTGCACGGCAGGAAGTGAAGACCAGAGATGAGTCCATAAGGCCTAACATGAACGGGGGCTCCAGAGGGCAGATGGGAAGGTGGCATCCAGAAACCCCAGAACAAGGGACAGGAATGTCTACACTGAAAGGACACACCAAATGCCCAAAGGAGTCAAAAGACCACTGCACCGCAGTGGGATTTCAGACCAGTGGACCGAAGGAAATTTCCTGAAGCATCGGAGATAAAGGATCAGACTGAGAATGTGGTCTCCAGCAGACAGGGGACCCAACACAGGGCCAGGGTCAGGGAAGGGGTGGCCCAGAGAAAGAGGACAATGGGAGCAAGCAACAGGGCTTCCAGGTGACACAGAGACAAGAGGCGGTCTGTTCGGAGGGTTGGGGATGAATCAGCAGGAGGCCAAGAGACGACAGGAGCACTTGACAATTACGGCTCTCGTATGCGCCACGGCCCACAAGGGCTCCCACTGATCTCAGCAACAAGGGGACATGATCAAATGGGGAGGACTGGGGTGGGGTGGGGGAGTGGTATGTGAGCCAGGGCCAAGCCTTTCCACGCTCCAAAGTGAGTAATGAATACTGAAACCTGAATGTAGAACGGGAACAAAGACGACAAGTCTAGAAAGAGCCAGAGAAGCGGCTGCTGGACTGACATCAGGGCCAGGACTCGGGGGACAGAAACGCTGATTTTCTCTTGGAGCCAGGAAGTGCTGCAGGACTTTCTAGCTCTCTAAACTATGAATCCCATTGTATTTCACTCAACAAAGACAGGAGGGAGTGGGTGGAGGGCTCTGTGGGGAGCCGTGCGTCCGACCTGAATCAGCATGTGGCAGATGTCCACGTGGCCGGCCTCCGCGGCGGCGTGCAGCGGGGAGCGCTTGCTCTGGTGTTCCATCTTGAAGTTGGGGTCGATCCCGTCAACTGTCAACAAAAAGGTTTCACCAATTATCTCGGAAGCAGCCTCTGGTTCCCACCACTTTAGGGTGGTCACAAAGGCTGATAAAAGCACATGTGGACGACCACCGAGAATCAGCATCACACAACACCATCCCGAGTCTAGGTAACAGTGAAGCCAGGCTCCAAACACGCTGGAAGATTCAAAAGAAGTACGCTAGTTTCACACAAAATTCACCATGTGGGTCTATTATTGCCAGGAACCACCTAACAACATGAATCCCTTCACTCACTGCCCTTGTCTAACTCAAGGGCTCCCAGAGTTTCTCTGGGGTTCCTTCTGTATTTTCAAGCACTCCTGCTCTCAGCCTTCCCTCCAGGCCGGGGGCACCTGCTAAGCTCAAGGACAACAGGCCCACTGGGCAGCCTCACACACACGTGACCTGGTGCACATGATCCCAGCAGGCCTGACGCAGACAATCGGCTGGCAGACTGGCCACAGAGCAGCCAGGCAACCTCAGCACCCCACCAAGCCTAGGGGGAAGACGACTAAAACCGCCATTTTGGTCAACATTAAATAACTTACATTTTTGGAAAAAATCGTTGAGTTTCTTCTTTGACTGTCAAGTGAAAGGATTTTTAATCACTCTTTTGAACCCAGAGAAACAAAGCCTCAAGCTGCGAGCTCAGCATCGAATTACTGCCCCTTCCTTGGCCGGAGCAGAGCTGGAAAGGGTCTGAAAGCACCGGCAGGCGCGTCAGCCCTGAGACGCACGCACAGACGTCAGTGCACAGCGTCTTGATCTGCCCACAGCTGGCTTCCACCAGCACAGGCCTGGCACCTGCCCTCCTGCCAGCAGCACCCAGTCGGCCCCAGCTCACTCATCTTCCTTTTTCTGAAGCTACATCTTCTCTTAATTTAATCATACACCTAATTCCTCTTTTAAAATGAGAGATTCACAGAAAATATTTCTATTATCACAAATAACAGAATATGAACATCACGCACAGGATGAACACCACTGGGCCCAGGTCAGAGAAATGAGAGACAGATAAAGAAAAAAATGAGACCCAGCTCCTAAGAAAAGGTAACAAACTACTACCGGCCCCTGGGGCCCCAGGGACAGGCAGCAAGCCCCAGCGGACGTGACGGCTGCTTACCCAGCATGAGCAGCACCTTCTGCAGCTCTCCTTGCCTGGCGGAGAAGTACAGCTGCTTCGGATGGAAGCGAAGCTTCTTGGGTCTGCGGGGAAAGCACGGACAGCTGTGACCACCAGGTGGCCCCACCGGGCTCCCAGCCCACGGGCCACGGCCGCAGATGCACAGAAGCACGCTGCAGGATGGGAAGGCCTGCGAAGTCTACCTGCTGATGCCTCAGGGTCAGGGGCACCAAACTCACCAGGCTCAGGCATCCCACAGGAAAAAAACAACAAAAACGAGCAACTACCTTCTTCATCCACAGCAGGAGAATGGTTCCTGAGGCTTCTGTGTACTGTGACAACAGAGCGAACCATCTTTGCAGCATGGGGTCCAGGGAGGCCCTGAGGTGGCAGGGGCAGTGTGGTCACCCCTGGCCCAGCCCGCCCCCTTCAGCAGAATGCGGTCTGGGCCTGGTGAGCGGGGCAGGGGGACCCTCAGTCACCCTAACATCAGGGCCACAGATGAGGCTGGAGACTGACAGAGGGAAACTATGGGGGACTGGGCAGCGTGTCCTAACACCTGAGCCTCCCCTAATCGAGAGCACCATGACATACACCCCTTCCGGCAGAGAGGCGTGCTGTCCCAAGGGAGGGCATGTGGCCTGGCCTGAGGCGCTGGTGAACTAGGCCAGTGGGCTTCCCTGGGAGAGGATACCTGCCTGGCTCACAGGTCACAGACTCGGGGCCCTAATGCAGGGCTGCACTATCTGAGAGTTGGCAGGTGAGCCTAAACAGCCACTTGATCCAACCCTTCACTTCACAGATGAGGCATGAGCCAAGTGGCATTTGCTCTTATGTCCTGAAGTCAACACCAGGGGGTCAACAATATCCAAGGGAAATGTTTGTAAAAGCCTCACAAGGACTGTCCTCACTTATGACTTCAAAGAAGTCATCTTTTGCTCTTAGTGTAATGGACAACTTGCAATAATTTCCTGAAACAGTGTAAAAATACGTGAATGGTCCTGATGAAACCATTTATCAAAAAGCTGAAGAACGTTACAGTGACCTCCTTGGGAATGCACCGTGACCCTGTGGGGGAGCCCAGTGACCCTCAGGGGGTGCCGCACGGGGTGCAGACTCTTAGGAAGTGCGACCACGGCGCATTGGAAGCACTGGGGGGTTTCCAGACGCACGGGCGCAAACGGCCCAGTGGCTGACACGGAGGGAAGAGAAATCTCTGCAGGAAGGAATGTCCAGATGGGCAGATGTCAGTGGGTCAGGCCCTGAGCCACGTCTGAAAACGCAGACTGGTTCTTACTTTTCCGAGTCCAGAGCGATCAGAGCACTTTCCAAGGTCTCCTTCCCTGGTCCCTGGGAAAGGCCGGGGGCCGGCTTCACCAGCCCGGCAGGCCCCGTGAGGTCGAAGCCCTCGGCTGCCTGGGGGGCTGTGCCCTGCGGCTTGCCGTCCTCCAAGAGCGGTGGTCCAGCAGTGCTTCAGGGGTAGGAAACAAATGATATGCTGAATTGTAGACACGTGAAAAACTCCACTTCTTGTGGAGACCAACGAAAACACAGAACATGATTCACTTGGACCCTTCCAGCTGAGCGTGAAAACAGCTCCAGACTCGCTCTCTGTTCAGTCCTTGGATCAAAGTCCAGTTCAGGGCAAATTCTCAGGAAGAAAGTGACATTCAAAGCAAAAGGGCAACTTTTCCAGGGTTTCCAGGACCACGTTCAAGTTTGCTTTTGTGAATGAACTTCCCAGTTGGAGCTATCAAACCCACTGCTCTTGCCAGTGGGAGGAAATCCTCCCGGAAACCTGATTCAAGGCATGTTACATTCATTTATAGATTAGCAGGGTTAATACAGAACAAGAAGGATTCGGCCTCCTCCCAATATTCAGTTTGATACGTCTACAATTCAAGGCTCTTTTCAACAGCCTTCGATGAAGTATTACTTTTCTATCACTGTGATATTTATTACGTTATATATTCCCAATATGAACCCTTCCCTTAACAAAATTCTTTTTTCGTTTAGCCAGGGCCTTCAAAACATGACTGACTGCACAAGCTAGAGCTAATGTCTCGTATTATACTCGCATGCAACAGAGGCACGGCTGTGTGGGGGCACAGACGTGCACAGACGTGCAGACACTCTTGCAGGCGCAGGGGACACGTGCACACACACATGCAGGGGTCAGCGCTCAGAGACCCACGGCTCTCCAGGGGAGCTGACCGAGGCTGCACTGGGCACATACCTGCCCGTGGTCGTGTCAGCCCTGCCCTCCACCAAGGAGCTCTTGTCCTGCCCGGGGGCCAGCGTCACGGTGGAGGTCGTGTCCGCTTTTGCGATGGTCACCTCTTTGGCCTTGGAGATCTCCTCCCCACAGTGGGGACAGTAGCTGGCATTATTGACTCGAGAGGCACAGTCTTTGTGAAAGCGGTGAGAGATGCTGCTCTCAGGCTGACACTCCATAAAATTACCCTGAAAACGGGAAGACTAGAAATCACTGTTTAAAATTACGGCTAACATGCATGAAAGTAAACGAAGTGCTACTGAACCTGCCTGTGAGGGTGGTGTGGGGGCCAGGGGCCCAGAGGCCAGTCGGGGCTCCCAGTCCCTGGCTAGGTAAGCAGGAGACCCATGTCCTATGTCTGTGGTGTGTCCACACGTGCCCCTGCTTTGTTTTTTGTTTTTGTTTTTTGAAGATTTATTTATTTGAGAGAGAGACAGCAAGAGCAGGAGGGTCAGAGGGAGAGGGAGAGACTCTCAAGCAGAATCCACGCCGAGTGCGGAGCCTGATTGGGGTTCAATCCCACAACCCTGAGATCGTGACCTGAGCTGAAGCCACGAGGCAAATGCTTAGCTGACGGAGCCACCCAGACGACCCCCACCCTGCTCCACCGCTGCTCTAGAGAGAGTGAGCAAAGTGGGGAGAAGCCACGTGACTGCCCCCCACACCCCAGGAGGCCAAGGCCTCACTCTCCGGCTGTTCTAACCCGAGAAGAGACTGCACAGAAAACCAGGTCCCAAGAAGGACCCCCAGAGGACAATCCAGGAAAGAGAAACCCGGAACAGAAAGGGGGGACAGCGTTCCGCAGGGGTGACCCAGCATCGCCAGGGGGCACTTCAGGCAAACCCGATGGCCTCAAAAAAGGACTCGCCGGCGGCACCAAGGACGTAAACCCCCAGCACGACGAGAAGCAGTGAGAGTAGCGCGCCCTTGCAGGGAGCTAAGGGTCACTGGACCCAGAGAAGCAGTCTCCCTCTTTTCCAGGAGAAGCAACAAGGATGTGGGAGACAACGAAGGGCACACAGAAAATCCCAAGAGCAGCCACTGCAGAGAGGCTCCCGACCCATGTGGTTGCTCAGCTGCGGGCCAAGCGAACTGCAGCGACCCCCGCGTTCTGACGGGCACCCTAGGCGTGGGTATGTGTGGAATGAAGTAACTGACAGAGAAGACCCTAAAACCAAGAGACGACGGCAAAGCAGAAGAGGAGGCAGGCAGGCCCTGCCCAGGAGCAAGGCCACCGTGTGTTCAGACACAGCGAGCAGGAGGAGGAGGGCTGAGGCGCCTGCCCCCCCGCGTCCCAGCTGTCCCCGGGAGGCCACAGGCTCACACGAAGCAAGAGGAGAGCGTATTGTGGGCGGGGGCCTCCAGGCGGGCCCCAGACCAGGGAGCTGCTGGGAGGTGTCTGCTACAAGCATCAGCCAGGGGAGGGAGGGAGGGAGGGAGGGAGCACTGGCACGAGCCTGCTGGGCGAGCTGGGCACTTACCGCTGTGCAGAAGTAGCCACACCCGGGACAGCACTGGTGCTTCACCATCCGGCCCCGGTGGTCTTCACAGAGCACCAAGAGCGGGGCTTTGCTGGACGGGCGCATTAGCTCATGCTTGACCACGTTGTTGGTGCACCTGCCCAGCTGCAATCACACAAGACCAGGGTCAGCAGCGGAGCCGCCAGGGGCTGGGGGAGGGGAAGATGCGAGTCCGAGGCGGACTCTGGGGGCTCCGTCCTCTGCGAGTCCGCCAGAACGGAACAGTGAGCCCGACAGGTGGCCGCGTGCAGTGTCAGAGGGTCCGCCGCAGGTGGTTAACCGGGCGAATCGAGGAAACAGCCAGGGCAAGCTGGGGCGTAGGCCAGGTACAGAGGACAAGTGGACATACACCAGGCCAGACAGGAAGGACGTCGTGGGCCAGCAGCGGGACGTCCTGCGAATCCACGGAGCCCCGCAAGTGGTCAGGGCAGCCAGAGCGAAACACCAGACAAAGGGCTAAGGTAAGCTGCAGACAGTGGGCGAGTGTGACTCAGGTGCACCCACAGGGCCTCGGGCCTCTGAGCAGGTGCCCCCTGACCTGCCCTGCAACTGCTCAGCCGACGGTGCCCCCCACCCCCACCAAGTGACGCAGACTCAGCGAACAGCAAGGTGCAGACCCACCTTCCCTGACAAACGTGTGCTCCAGTGGGAGAAGCAAAGACAAAGCACAGAGACTAAAGCTACCAAGCGGAAATCAGAAGCCGTCTGAGGAGCACAAGCTAGGGCGGGAGAGTGTGTAGGAAACTGTCACCAGTGCCCCTAAAGAAACAGACGTCGTGGCCATTCCCACACTGGAACAGGAGGCTACAAGGAAGACACGCCTGGGGAAAAATGAGCTCTCAAGAATTAGAATTAAGGTGGAAGAAAGGGAAATCCCCACAGAAGCGCTGGAAGAAAGAGGGGGAATTTTCTGAAAGTGAAGCAAACAGACAAAAATTTGGAAAATGGAGAAGAAAACTGGAGGCTCCATCTAGGGGACCTAAAATAAAGGTAAAACGGAGAGAAGGCAAGGGTACACCAACTGGAAGGATGCGCCCGTCCCTGCCTGTGAGCAGGGCGGCAGCGGCCGGGCACCGGCGTGCTCCCGGCCAGGCAGCGGGACGCCAAGGAGGAAGCAGCCCAGCTGTGCGGCGAGCACCACGCAACAACAGGACAAAGAGCAATCCCAATATAAGAAGGAAACGTGTCCAACACGGAGCTCTGACCGACAGAAAGCACTTCCAGAGCACAAAGTCTCCGATGTTTAACCCCCAGCAACCTTCCGCGAGAAGCCACTGACGGTTACGTACAACCAAGACGAGAAAGTTGTGACCCAGACAGACCTGATGCGCTGAAAATGCCTACAGAAACGTGCAATTCCATCGATCTAGGACTGAATTTGTAAGAGGTACACAGAAAATAGAAAATGAGAAAATCATTGACTCAGGAAAATAAGAAGTCGTTTAGCAGAAGAAATGTAATCCAAGCATGCCACTGGCTCGGCTGCGAGCATTTCCAGAGTGTGTTATGAAAACCACAAATACAGTTTTAACCAAAAATGAAGACAGAATGCAAACTGCAGGTGAGGTAATGAGAAAGGAGAGCACCTCCACCACAGTCAGAAACCAAGAGGCAGGACCTCTTACGCAGACAGTCAAGAAATGGCCGCAGAAAAGTGGGTTATGTAAAACTATGGGGAAAAAATTTAAAATACAAGGAAAATCTCAAAGAGGTCGAAGTGGCCATCCCAGGGGAGGGAGACCGGGAGAACCAGCGTGAAGAGCTAGCATGGACAGACAGCAGGAACTCTGACTGACACGCAGTCAAGCTGACATCTAACATCGTGGACGTTTACAGTTGTCACAAGCGGAAAGGAGATGCTGCCAAACATCCGACTACAAACAGGATGATCCTGCACAGAGAATCATTTGGTCCAAAGTGGCAGAGGTGCTGCAGCTGAGGGGCTCTGCTCAGGAGTCTGAGCACACGGCCAAGAGCCAAAGCAGGCCACACAAGGAGCCTGGGAGGTGGCCCGATGCCGCACAAGCACACCAGGAATGTTAGAAAGTCAAATAAAAACGGTAGAAATAAAAAATATGGGAACAAATAAATGCATATGACTGGCTCGTGAACATACTCCACAAGGAAGAAATTACTGAATTGAAAAAGGTCGATGTAATTAACCCAAACCTAAAATAGAAACAGAAAAAAGAGCAGAACACCCACCGGCTGAGACAGTATCACATAAGCTGACGTACATATGACCAGAGTGCCAGAGAGGGGAGGACAGCCAGGCCAAGAAGTTAAGGGCTGCCAGGCGAGAAGGCTCGGGGACAAGCAGGCGACAGATCAAAGTCCAAGAGGCTCAGAGAGACTGAAGGAGGATAAGCATCGAAAGAGAAAGACAGCCAAACCATGGCACCCAGGCCCAGAGACAGGAGAAAACCCTGGAGCAGCCGAAGAAAAACTCAACATCACAGCAGAGGAACAAAGATAGGGAGGGCGGCCAGCATCCTCGTCAGAAACCATGGAAGTTGACACAGCAGCAGCCTTTGCAGGTGCTGAGAGTTCTACGCCCATGAAAATACCTCCCCAGACGAAGGCAGAACAGAGACGTTTCCAGGCCCACGGAAGTGAGAGCACTCACTGTCGGCACCGAGCTGCGCGTGGGGGCGGCTAGGACAGCCGCATCCGGGGCTCCGACTCAACAGAGTGGGGGCGGTCCTGGGGTAGGGTCTAAATGAAAGTCAACCAAAGACTACTTTGATGTGTAAGCAATCTGAAAGACAACTATTTAAAGCAAAAATAACAGCAATACCCTGTGGTACATGCGAAATTAAAACGCATGACAAAAGCTGGGAGGGAGGATTTGGGACCACATACCGTAAGACCCTTACACCACGTCAAGTGCAGGTACCCCAGAACAAAGTACAGACGTGTGCCGTAAACCCCGGGGCAGTCCCCGCAGACACCAGAAGACGTACATAATAAAGCCAACAGTGGAATAAACTGGAATCATAAACAAATTCAATCCAAAAGGCAAAAAAGAGAGAAAAATGAGTAACGGATGACATTAACCCTGACACCATGAAGACGCTAGATCGTAGCCCAACTGCAGCAACAACGCATGAGGTGGGGATGATCTGCACAAGATTCAAGAACAGAGACTAAAGAAATGCACTTTAAAGACAGAGACAGGTGAAAAGTAAAAGGGTGCAGACAGTAATCCAAGGAAAGCGAGGTGCTTATGTGAGTACTGGGCACACGAGGTCTCGGCACAGATGTCTCTTGGGGTTGCAGAGGGACAGCGCATCAGACGCAGGTGAACGGAGCAGAGCCTCCGCACCGATGGGTCCATACGGCTGAAGAATCTAACACTCCTCCCTCAGCAACAGAACTGACGGACAGACTCAGAAAAGCATCGGACGACCTGAATAGCAGGTTCCTGACAGCAGTGGGGGTCACGTACACATTTGCCAACACTCAGAACCACACACAAAAAGGTGCCTTTCACTGTGTGAAGTGTAGCTCAATAAGCTGCCTGACAAAGAAAATGAAAAGACAAAGGAGCTTGTTTTGGGAAGGGCTGCTTGCTAGCAACTAAACATGAGATAGGGAGACCACAAAACAATTTTGGGGAAAACAACCGTGGCCTAAAAACTTCCTGGAATCCCACATAAAACAGCAACTAGACAGCAAAGCCACAACCCAGAGACATTTACAACAAAATCAAGCTACCGTGGCTACAAGACTCAAGTGTCTGGAGGCAAACTCCATTCAGCCACGAGACACATGCACCACTGGTACTGGAGCAGAAGGAGAAGGAAGACAGAGGTACTGTCTCGTGGACCCCAGGACAGGGACAGTGAAACACAAGATCCTCACTGGGAAACCCCGCAGGGAGGCCTGGGGCCAATGTGGTCCACCCTCCAGGAAATCTCAAAGCCTGGGGCTAACGTCCTCCTAAAGGCCTGCAGAGGGAGTGAGAAGAGTCTGGTCACCTCTGCATTAAGCTGCAGACGTACAAGGAGGACAGGGGAACAGCTGAATAGCACCATGACTGCGGGATCCATCAACTCCAGATGATGTGGCCACATGGCCCGGGTTGTTCCACGGAAAAATTGGAAGTAAAAGAAAAGGAGGGGGGAGTATGTGTAAATCAAAAGACAAAAAGACAATAGCGTCTATGGGTTTAGATATGGATGGTAAGGATGTTCAGAAAACACAGGGAGGTGAGCACTACAGATGGCAGAATGGGGGCCCTTCAGGCCCCTGTCAGATCCTGAACCTTGGTGGTAGGTTATCAGAGTGTTCGCCCCAGAGAGACTCAGGAGGCCAAACATCGGTCTTGTATTGTTTTCTGGATCTCTTTCACTTTACAACACACTGAATACAGAAAAGACCATGAGTCCCTAAGATGCTAAAGTAAAGGAGAGAGGGATGGGAGGGGGGAAACACAATCAAGCCCCGGGAATGTCAGGACACCAACTCCTTACTCTGAAAAATGGGGGAAAAAAAGACCAAGTAGCTATTTATTCTGTCTATCCAGGGTAAAGTGTGTTTCTGGGGTGCCACACAGCCCTAGCAGATGAGGGGAGCTCTTCTGGGTCCAGGGGTCCAGCCAGAAGCTGCAGAAGGGATGGCAGGCCTGCAAGACCGCCATTTCTACCGTGCTTCTAGGGTCCTGCCTCGTCCTGCTGCTGCGGGGAGAACGAGCTCGCTTACTTCGTGGTCCACACTTTCCGTAGCCATGCACTGGTTGTTGGCCAGAGTGGTGATCTCTCGGCTTTTCGGGGTTTCCATCCGGCAGCTGCAGAGGGGCACTTCCTGAAGGCCGTCTGTCTCCACCACATCGGGACCATTGGCCAGCCCTGAAGTCACACAAACACACGTGAGTGTCACCAACAGCAGAGCGCACACCCAGACAGGCTTCCACACCACATTCAGTGGCACGAAGTCCCCACCTCAAGACGGCAGTCCAGAAAGCGACCAATGACATAGTCTTTCTGGAAACCTCACGTGTGAGGAAAGAAAACAACGCCAATTACTTTGCTGGCACAAGGACCGCAGCAAGAGGGTCCGCCCGCCTGTCGAGCGCCCGCTGCCGGCGGGACTGGGCGGGAACCTCTCCCACTAACATTACTCGGTAATCCATGTTCTCAGGATCCAGGACCTAAGTTCAGAAAGAGACTATACCTTCATTAGCTACCCCTAAATTTTTTGGTTTTCACACAAAAGAGCATTTAATACATGTTAAGACCTTGCTCTCCTCACTTGGTTTTAGAATTGCAGCCACAGAAGGAAACATTCGATTCCACCTGGGTTTACTTATTACCCAGGATGTTTGCTAGACTGAGGAGGAAGAGCTGAGAGACGCTAGGCTAACAGTGACAGCAGTAAGGAGGGTGGTACATCTTACCTCCTTCTAATCCCCAATTTACGGTGAGGACACCAGGGGAGACGGAGGGCCTGCAGCCCACATGTGAGTGCAGCCAGAGCCAGGCTGGCCTCGAGGGGTGGGGTGCAGGCTGGCTGCCAGAAAGACCCCTCCATCCAACCTGGAAACAGGGTCTGGCTGCTTCCAAAGGAGGACACATTTCATGCTCTCCTCTTGTGAGACAGCCAAAGTGGAAACATAAGGTGATCGACATCTCCAACACTCGCCATTAGCTCCCTTAGTTAAGAAGAACGGACTCTTGAGGCGCCTGGGTGGCTCAGTCAGCTGAGCATCCGACTCTTGATCTCAGCTCAAGTCCTGATCTCAGGGTCATGAGTTCAAGCCTAGTGTGGAGCCTACTTAAAACAATAAGAAAAAGAGGGGCGCCTAGGTGGCTCAGTCCTTAAGCGTCTGCCTTCGGCTCAGGTCATGATCCCAGGTCCCGGGATCGAGTCCCGCATCGGGCTCCTTGCTCCGTAGGAAGCCTGCTTCTCCCTCTCCCACTCCCCCTGCTGTGTTCCCTCTCTCGCTATCTCTGTCAAATAAATAAATAAAATCTTAAAAAAAAAAACATAAGGAAAAGGAAAAAGAAAAAGAAGGGAGAGAGAATAACGGACTCTTGTTGCCACACCTATGTACGTGGGCCCACATGGGTTGGAGGACATGCCCTCACTGCCCACCACTACCCTTATGTGTAATCTGAGGCTGGTCCTCACCAGGAGACTCAGGATGCAGGGCCCTCCATAACTGACAGCAGGAGCCTGCATGCTCATTCTGCCCTGTGACACTGCTGAGCCTCTGGGTCACCTACACCCCAAGAGAGTGACTCCCTTCCTTCACGGTGAGAGGAAACAGGGAAACGGTGAGCTAGAACTAACATTAGCAACACCACAAGTTTAAAACTGGGAGAGCCCTGGCGAGGACTCTGCTTAGCAACTGCATTTTACAACAAGGAAGACACAGGCTGCCCAAGGGGCCGGCCAGCATGGCTGAGAAGGCCGAGGGTAGGAGTGAGGACCAGGCCTTAGGATTTAGTTTCCCACACACAGACAATGCGGCAGTGGCTCAGACGCCTCCTGAGCATGGGGTGTGCCCGTCTCCAGCAGTGGGAGCCACCGGGGGCGCCAAGGGAACGGCTCAAGAGAACCCCACCAAGTGCCCACTGCCACTGAGCTCTGGCTCCCCCCAAAATCTCCACGTCATCCACTCCTGGCCTCCCCCCCACCATCCTCTGCTGGGACCACAATGTTACTCAACTTCCACTCAGCAGACCTAGCAGCAAAGATGCCAAGAAGGACATGCGAGCAGCGGATTCTGATTGTGCACAAACATTCTGCAGGCTCAAGCCTGGACCACCCTCTGGACCCATGACCCAGAGCCATCAGCTGCCCTCTGCACCCATCACCGGAGCACACCCCCTAGGCCTCCAGTGAGCCTGAGGCACTCTGTCCCTCCTGTCCAGCCTCGGGCTCCACAACTGCCTCCCCCAAGTGTCCAAAACTCAGACACTAAAAAAAAGGCATGGCTGCAAATGCAACTTGTGTCTTCAATGCGCCGATTCTCTAAATCAAAAGTACGACTGGACAGACCAATCACTGACTAATCAATCAGTCATTACCAATCAGGGAAAAATAAAGTTTAGGAAATCAACTTACAAAATGTCATAGAATCTCAGAAAGCCTTCACTTTCTCCTCCTACTTCTCCAACTTGCAGTTTGGCACTTACTTTTACCAGAAAGAGAATATAAGCACATAAACACACCATCTCCCATTGCTCAGCTAAACAAACTGGGGCAAGGTCAAGGTCACTGTGCTTGTGAGCAACAGGAGTTTCCACTGTGCTCCCCACTGTCTCCTCACCTCCAACCACGGGGGCACAGCAGAGGGGAAATTTGATTAGATGAAATACTATTTCCAGCTTACATCCCAATCTGTGAGTTCCTGGAACAAACCTAAAAAGCAGGTTTAGAAAAATTACCCTTCATGTGGAAAGAAAGCATGAGGGGATGATGCCAACAACTTCAGGGCATTAGAGAGGCGTTCTACTCTATCTGGTGCAAGAAGAAGAAAAATGGTTTCTCTGACGGACAAGTCTACAATGTGTCTTACGCCTAAAGGTGTGATTTCCCACATTAAAGAGGCGATCAAAATTTCTCTAGTGTTCCAAACCCTAAAAAGCCAGTTATTTGTCCTCTGAAGACTGACAGGTTAAACTCCTATAGCAGCACACAACCCACAACTGCAAGGTCCACGTGGAGTGTAAATACCTTTAGGATTTTACATTTTCCCCATATTACATTTTAAACAGATTTTCCAAAATAGTCAGTGATTAGTTCCTTTTCACGGATGAAAGGTTTTTAAATGGTTCAAAGAGAGCAAACAGTGGTGGAGAGAAAGCCCCGCACAACTCGGGCCAGCTGACTGTCCGCACCCCCAGCATTCCAGGCCCAGAACCAGGGGAGCTGTGGGTAGGCCTGCACCTTCAAGGCCCAAACCAGCACTAGGTGTACCCTTTGTTTCAGCACAGAACACACCTGAACACCAATCACAATCGGAGTCAGAGACGATGACAAAGCCATGCTATTCAAAATTAAACCACCAGTGATCTCCCGACACAGCCAGGGCGGGAGGACCCCTCTCCAGCAGGAACGCTACATAAAAATGCGTCTGACCGACGGGCGGACGTGTTGTAAGCCATGACCACCAACAACCTGATCTTACGGGCGACGTTTCACTCCCATGCCGTGGGGGACTGGGCAAACGCGCCCCAGTGCATCCACTCGGCCACCTTTTCGGGATGCAGTTAATCGAACGTTTCATCATTACCCACCAGAGGGCATCACGTTAGTATGAGGCCGCCCCCAGCAAACAAAGAGCAAGATGGTGCCCAGCCTGGTCACAGCACAGAGGTTCACCTTCTGCTTGTGAGGGCAGCGTCCCCTTGACACGGAGATCCAGGGAGTCCAGAGAGACTTCCATGTACCCCGTGCTGTCTCCGGGCGCCGTCTGCTCTGCGCTTCCTGAAGATGACGTATATGCTTCAGAACCTGCATTCAGAAGGGGCCTGTGAAACACTGCATGCGGGCCGCCTCTCCAGCAGAGACCATGGGGAAGGCTAATTAACCCATGCAAAACCACAAACTCCAACACCACCCCTGTCCAGGACACTGCAGCCTCGCTCAGTTTCTTTCCTGCGCCTCATTTTGCTAACTCCCCCATTTCCACAGACTATTCATGGGAGGAGGGGGAGCTGTATCACGAAAAACAAGGAACTGACATGTGGAAACATCTTTCTCTGTAACTACACCAGTCAGATAAAGGCCAATCAAACAACCAAGGAAACATAAAACATAGTACATAAATGTTCTGTAACTACTACTTTAAAAATAAAACAGAGAGGGGCGCCTGGGTGGCTCAGTTGGTTAAGCAGCTGCCTTCGGCTCAGGTCATGATCCCAGCGTCCTGGGATCGAGCCCGGCATCGGGCTCCCTGCTCGGCGGGGAGCCTGCTTCTCCCTCTCCCTCTGCCTGCCTCTCTGCCTACTTGTTCTCTCTCTCTATCTCTATGTCAAATAAATAAATAAAATCTTTAAAAATAAATAAATAAATAAAATAAAATAAAACAGAATTCTCTGATCTGCAGGTCTGAAAGACCAGCTGATGTAAAGTGGCTGAGAAGCCACCCCATCGGTGCAGCGCTGCTGGGAAACCTGCCCAATCCCAAAGACATCTGAGTTCGGGATTCAAAGGGAAAGGACGCAGGGCCGCAGGGACGTATCCACCTGTCAGACATGGTGCTTTATGAAGGGCATCACGCTCTAGAGGGCAATGCAATCTGAATACAACTGAGGGGCCTGTGAAATGGGCGCTGCCCAGACTCAGGCCTCCTGTGCCCTCAAGGCCCGTCCACCATTCCTGGAGAACCCACATGGGTTCTTGCCGTTGTGAGCAGACTTCACGGAGGAAGCCTGTGAACAGTACACACTCACTCAGGATAATATCTAACACTAGCAAAGGGCAGGTGCCTGTTTTTCACAGCCAAGCTTCCAAACACTAGTCATTGATATTATGTCGGTGATCAGAAATAAGTGAGCCATAATACAGAGCAGTGTGGTACCCGGGGCCTGTGAACGCATGTCGCCTCCTGCACCTGAGCTCATGGACAGACAGGATGAAGCCAGCCACTGTGAGAGCTCAGCTCATCACCACACATGTGAAGAATACGAGTAGTCTGGGCAACTTTAAACACCCTACACAAAGAAATAAAATTTGAGCCCCTATGCGAATAAACATTCAAGCATTCATCTTACATGCAGTCTTAAGTCTACCAAGACTGTTCGTTTGTTAGCGAGCAGAAAAGCCACACTGGCCGGTCGTCCGTGGTGAAGAGAAAAGGAAACGTGAGTGAAAGAGATGGAGCTCACAGGAGGCTCACGGGCTCCACACACAGCTCTCCTCTGTGCTTTGGGGTTAGCTCTGCCTCCCTGACATCCACTTAGCAAATCTGCTTGTGCATTGGGGGGCTGGAGAAGAACGGCTAATGTTTGTGGAATCAGAACAAGCTCCTTGGCTCTGTGGTATGAGCGTAAAGATAAACAAGCACATGAAACAGCCCCCCCACACTGTCAACAAAGGTTCGAAGGGCGACCCAGAGAAACAAGTCAAATTAAGCAGTGGGGCAGGAACAACTGGGCATCCACACGCAACAGGGGAGCGGCCTGCCGCAGAGCACACACAAATGCTAACTTAAATGGGTCAGAGATGCACGCATCAGGCCTAACACTGTAAAACTTCAAGAAGAGAATACAGGACACAATCTTTGTGACCTGACTTAGTAAAAGATTTCTGGGATCATAAAAAGCAGGAATTTTAAAAGAAAAGAATTCATAAATTAGACTTCAACAAATTTTCTTTATTTACTAGGCACACATATGTGCAAAATGTGTACATAATCAAAGACTTGTATCCGAAATCTTGCAAGAACTCTTCCAAGTCAGTGAGAAGGTATACAATCTGATTTTTAAATGAGCAAAACAGAGAACCCTTTACAAAGGAGACGCACGAGGCCATGGTGTGCAGCCTCACCACTCAACGAGGTGAGCACCCAGTGAAGGCACGGCGAGGCCTGGGGTGCCCCAGCAGCAATGGGACCAGAGACCGACCCTGACGAGTGTCGCAAGGACACAGAGGCGCAGAGCTCTCGTGCCGCTGTGGGAACGTGAGGAGACAGAGGGCGGTACTCCGGTCTCTGGCTGAAAACCTCTCGGCAGTTCCCTAAAGTCTGACATACAGCTCAGCTAGTCCACTCCTAAATATTTACCCAAGGTAAGCGAAAGTGTCTGATCAATAAAGACTGTATACAAATGTAAGAAACAAACACAGGAAAGAGCCCAAGCGTCCACCAACAGGTGAAGAGTGAACCACGGAATCGTTCCTGGCCAACGATCCACCGGTACTACAACGTGGATGACTCAAACAGTTACGCACAAAGCAGACAGACAGGGCAAGGGCACCTCCCCAGTCATCCACTCAGATGAGGTCCTACACAGTGCTAACCAATCTGCAGACAGAGTGTACAGCAGAGGCGCCTAGGGATGGGGAGGGCTGGCTGGGGAGAGGGAAAGGCCACCAAGTGGCAGCAGGAGCATTCACGACATAACTGTGGTGGAGGTCTCGTGGTCATACACGTGTGGAAACTCACCACCTTGCACCTGAATCACGTGCACTACAGCACATGCCCAATCTTCTGCAACAAAGCCATCAGAAGCGACCCCTGGCCCACTAGGCTTGCTCACCTTCTGGATTTCAGGGTCATTTCCTTCCCTGCATCCCCTTTAACAAAATTACTTCCAGAACAGGGGAATCTGACCAAAGGGCTGAAAGCCACTGTGTGGACCTAGGCACTGCCCACACCTGACACCAAGGGCAGCCACGGTAACCATACAATGTTCAGAAGCCACAGATTCCTGGTCACACAAGGAAAAAGATGAATAATCCCAATTAGCTCAACACTCAACAATGAAACCAGCATTAAGGGAGGTCTGCCAGAAGGAAGCCACTTGAGGGTCACCTGAGTGTCTCTAATGAACTTCATACTTTTTTTTCCCCTTAAAACAGTAAAGCCCCTTTTCCAAATGAAATCCTACACAGAACCCCAACCCCACCCCCGGACGGCCTCCCATGGGCCCATTTCCCACCCAGACAGTCCTCGAATGTGGACACCACATTTACCCAGCACACTGCTTTGCTTCTTTTTATTTCTCCGCCTCCGTTTCCTAGCCGGCTTGATCCAAGGGCTGTCAGGCTTTCCTTTCCTCTTGAGAAACTTCTTCTTGATACTGGATTCAGAACTCTGAGAGCCAAAGGGGCAGGAATAGAAAAAGCAAAGCATGGGAGCTCCTGAAAGCAAAAGGTACTAGAAGTTTTGTTTCCTTGCAAAATAAAATACCTGCTATATCTTGGTTCTTCAACTAGAAGATTAATTTCACTTTCAGACACTTTTCTGGTCCCATTCTTAAAAATACTCATGTTTTCCCCTAAATCACACTAAGTTGTTATTTTACAGGAAAAGAAAAGCCAAGAACATTTAAATGGAATTTATAAATCTTACTCGAATCTGGCACAAGAAAGAATGAGAAAGTTCTAGTCAGGAACTAAATAAATAAATAAGCTCAGTGAGAGAATCCACTTTTAATCATATGCATCCATTCTGCTCATGAGAAAAGGAACAATGAATGCCTCAATCTGCTTCAGAATCTATGTCCACACTAATTATCTACATGGAGAATAAGGAAAGAAATTATAGTTAATTTTACAATATTTTAAGATTTTTATGACCCTTTCTAAAACCTAAGATGCAGAAAGGGCATCTACAAAGAGACGCAGAGCAAGAACTGCCACCACCTTCAACTGGTCTACAAGGAGAATCACACGACCCCTGCTCCCTAGGGATACAGAGAGACGCTAGAAAGGAGGAAAGCAGGAGGTACACCAGGCGCGGTGCTGGGTGCCCAGTTCTGACTGCGGTGGCCCACCAGTGGCCCCATGCACCCTGTACTCCATTTCCTCTGCCTCACCCCTGCCCTCCTTACTGCAAAATTTCAGACCCAACTTCCTCAAGCACTGCCCCCAAGCTCACTGTCGCTTCAAGGTGCCGTTCCAGACAAAGAGCAGCTTATCCCCAAACCCAACTGTCCCTTCCAAGTCCTCACCTCATCTACCCACACAACACACTGATGCCAGGGACCAGTGTCTCCCTCTTGGGAGGATTTCTCAGCTCACAACATGACCCTCCCGTCTCACATCAACTCCGCCTTCTCTGCTTCAAGCTCACCTGTTGGGTGCTTTCTGGGCCCCATCCTGACTGAGGCTTGTGCTCTTCCCCATCTCCAAGCCCCTGCTCCCCCATCCCCACAGACCCAGTGCCCCTGCCCTCTGACCGCTTACCTCCCTGTGACAACCAGCCCACAGAAGGTCCTGCTGGCTCTAATCCTGAGACACCTCAAATCCTTCCTTCTCTCTCACATTGGTCATAGGGCAGAATCACGGCCACTGTCCTTGCTGCCAATTCCTACCCATTCTACCACCCCTCACACACCAAAGCCCCAACCTCCCTCCCCTAGCCCTGCCTGCCCGATGAGGACCTGAGCCAAGCCCATCTCCTTTGGCTCTCTGCTCAGATGTCTTTCTCATGCTCCCTCCCAAGGTCTGGGATGAGATCTGCCATCACGGCCCCAGATTCCAAGCACACACTTGCAATGACGGCTGAGTGAAGGGCTGGACAGACTACAGAGCCTCCTGCTTTACTCTGCCACCAAACACGAAATCAGAGTGCAGGGCTGGGGTTACCAGATCAGACTCATCTCCATCCTCGTCTTCCTCCCCGGTGCCGGCTGACTCTTGCTCCTCTTCAGACTCGCCGTCCGTCTGGCCAGCCGCACAACAAGCCAAAAAGAAAACACAACTAATGAGACCCTTCAGTGGAGGTGACTTGATAAAAACACGTCTTACTGGACACACTGGCAGTCAGCGCTGAAGATGCACGTGCACAGGCGGGCTGGGGGGCGGGAGAGGACACAGGTGCTGTGTCCACGAAGTGACCGGGACCAGCTGCGAGTCCTGCCTGACCGCTGCCCAAGAGCCCGTCCCAGGTGGGCCGCTCCTCTGCTGTATTTCTGTACTGATCTGGAAGGCAGCCCCCTCGGCACGTAATAGACCATCATCTGTATGCTGAAGACTAGTGCACTTGATGCATTTTGTGTGTAGGAGAATTCAATTAAAAAGTAACAAAATACACAGTAAAAACATTTCCAGAGGCCAAAAAATAATACAAAATGCAAAACCTACCCTTTAAACCCACCCAAGAGCCCAGTTCAGCCCCCAGGACCATCATGCTAGTGCTGCTCACAGTCCTTCCAGCCCATGTTTGGCACGAATGGGCCTGAACACAGAAGCATGATTCTGCCTGCTGGCTGGCAGAGCACCAAACACAATTTTGTGAATGAAACTTTCTTCTAACTAAAAATATGTTTTGGAATTATTTCCATATCAAAGCAATATAGGTACTTTTTTTTTCTTTTTTTTTGCTGTATTTACCTTTTCTATCCACACAGGTAATACATGAATACATTTTCAATGCAAAAACACTAAAATATATGGGTATCCATTCACCCCTTCTCCACCTACCCCCTGAGGCAGGGATGTGGTAACACACACACCCTCAGCCTGGCTCTTTGTGGGGCTGCACCCAGTAACTTCCCCATTCCCTAATCGAGGCACACCCTTCTCAGTTTCACTCTGAGGCTGCGTTTTACACAAACTAAGATCCCCCAGGACAAACCAACAGACACACACTCCTCTCTACAAATGTGGAGTTCAAGACTACTGCCATCAGCAATGCCCAGAGAGGCACAACCAGCCCTCCAAGGGGTCGCACAATCACTGTGGTCTTCATTCCCCAAGTACACAAGGAACTGAGCAACTTCCATGGCTTCACATACTTTCCTACCTCTTCCACTTTGTCTCATGCGACCAAACCCTCAGTCCCTACTGCTACTGGGTACTTGCTTTATTAATTAGGAGAAGCTACACACATATACGATAACAATGCTTTGCCTATTAAATGTTATAAAAATTTTCCCTATCAAGTGGAGCTTTGCTTCTGGTCTTTCTTATTATACAAAAATACTGAGACTTTATCTGGACAAGTCAAACCTCTCATCTTTCTCTTTGTCGCTTCTGGATCTGTGTCTGGCACTAGAAGGCCTTCCTTATTTGAGATTAGAAAAACAGTTTCTAACATTTTCTTCCACAGTTCGGTATTTTATGTTGACACTTTAAAGCTTCTGTAATTTACTTTTTTAAATAACAACTTTACTGAAATATAACTTACCTACTCTAAAATTCATGCTTTTAAAGTGTACAATTCAGGGGCACCTGTGTGGTTCAGTCAGTTAAGCGTCCGACTTTTTTTTTTTTTTTTTAAGATTTTATTTATTTGACAGAGAGACGCAGTGAGAGAGGGAACACAAGCAGGGAGAGTGGGAGAGGGAGAAGCAGACTCCCCATGGAACAGGGAGCCCGACGCGGGGCTCGATCCCAGGACCCTGGGATCATGACCTGAGCTGAAGGCAGACGCTTGACGACTGAGCCACCCAGGTGCCCCTAAGTGTCCGACTCTTGATTTCAGCTCAGGTCATGACCTCACGGTTGTGGAATCGAGCCCTGGGTCAGGCTCCATGCTCGGCGCACAGTCTGCTTGAGATTCTCTCTCTCCCACACCCCTCCCTCCACTCACTCTCTCTCTCTTTCAAATAAAATCTTTAAAAAAAAAAGTGTACAATTCAGTGTTTTAGTATATTCCAAGTAGTGCAACCATCACCACTATCCAATTCCAGAACAGAATTTACATTTCCTATGTGACATGATGCGACAGTTCCCCTCTATTTTTCCCCCAAAAGATCAATTGTCCCAATAACATTTACTGAAAAGTTCATGATCCCCTGACCACAAACTAAAAACCCATCCTTAAAAAATAAACAAAAATTAAAACCCCCTCCTTAGAGTAAACTGTATGTTCACATACAAATAGGTTTGTTATGGATTTCCTGTTCCACTCACTCAATGCTTTCCCATTCCTGCACAAATCCCCATTTAATCACTCTCCAGTAGTTCTAACTGCTCTTTTTTCTCCCTGTGCTTGCTGCACACAATTCCCACATCAGCTATTCTATAGAAAGTCCTCTGAGGGTCTTGATGAGAACTATTCTGGACTTAGAGGCAACGTGGGGAGGATGAAACAATGATCTTCTCATTCAGACAAGTAACCGGCCTTCCCTCAGACAAACAAGAGGTTTTCACTCAAACAAGGGGTCTTCACTCAGGCAAACAAGGGGTCTTCCCTCAGACAAAGAGCAGGTCTTCCCTCAGATACACAAGGGGTCTTCACTCAGGCAAACAAGAGGTCTTCCCTCAGACAAACGGCAGGTTTTCCCTCAGACATACAAGCGGTCTTCCTTCAGACAAAGAGCGGTCTCCCCTCAAACAAGGAGTCTTCACTCAAACAATGGGTCTTCCCTCAGGAAAAGAGCAAGTCTTCCCTCAGTCAAACAAGAGGTCTTCTCTCAGACAAACAGCGGGTCCTCCCTAGCTAAACAACAGGTTTTCCCTCAGACATACAAGGGGTCTTCCCTCAAAGAACAGGTCTTCCCTCAGATAAACAAGGGGTCTTCATTTAGGCAAATAAAAGGTCTTCCCTCAGACAAACAATGGCTTTTTTCTCAGACAAGTAACAGATCTTAATGTGAATCTATGTCTCCTTTCCAACCTCCTTCAGGAAAGTTTCAGTTTTCTCTTCTAGGGAATTGACATTTCCTATTAAATTTATTGCTAAGTACCCTCGTGGTATTAAAGACTTACAGCTAAGTTTTAGGTGTGATACTGTGATTTTTGCTTTTAGAGTCCTTTTCTTTTAAAGATCCGTATGGAAATATCTGCTTCAAGACAACCCACGTGTGGGGCGCCTGGGTGGCTCAGTTCATTAAGCGACTGCCTTTGGCTCAGGTCATGATCCCGGGGTCCTGGGATGGAGTCTTGCATCGGGCTCCCCCTGCTCTGCGGGGAGAGCCTGCTTCTGCCTCTGCCTCTGCCTGCCACCACCCTGCTTGTGCTCTCTCTCTCTGTGTCAAATAAATAAAATCTTAAAAAAAAGACAATCCATGTGTGGATAAGCAAGACTGGCCAAGCGTTAACAACTGTTCACTATTATCTGTATGTCTGCATAGCTTGACATTTTCTATTAGAAAAGTTAAAAAATAGCCCTAGACATTATTGCTATTATTGATACTGTTGTCGTTACATTTTCTAACTGGCTATTGCAGCTACAAAGAAAAGGAATGGTTTTATGTCTTGATCACATTTAAGTTCAGCTCACTAGCTATAATAGTGCCTCAGCTGATTTTCTTGAATTTTTTAAGACAGATGATTATATTCTTGGCAAACTCCTCTCCCTTGTCCTTTTAAATATTAATGTTTCCTTCTGGTTCTCATTTTACAGCATCACAGCAAGAATAATCAACACTGCAGCGCTCATGTTAGGGGAGAAAGGAGCAATCCCTCCCTCTTTTTATTATTGACATCAGAAATGTTTTAAAATGTTCACCACTAAGTAACCTTTTTTGAGGGGGGGTAGGATTCTGATATCTTTAGGTTTATTTAATATAAGCTATCTTTAAATACCATTGGGTAATTTGTATTTTAAAAAGATTGAGCCTGGGTAGATCAGTCGGTTAAGCATCTGCCTTCGGCTCAGGTCAGGATCCCAGGGTCCTGGGATCGAGCCCTGTGTGGGGTCCCTGCTCAGTGGGGAGCCTGCTTCTCCCTCTCCCTCTGCCCCCCAGCTTGTGCTCTATCTCAAATAAATAAAATCTTAAAAAAAAAAAAAAAAGGCATCCAAATGGCAAATAAACATGTAAAAAAGCACCCAACCTTCTCGGAAATCAGGAAAATGTGAATCAGAACTATAATGCAACACCACTACTCACTGGCTGGGCAATACCAAGTGTATCAAGCTAGTGCGACAGAAGGACACTCATGCACGCACAGCTGAGAGCGGGAGAGCTGCGTGGCTATGCCTACCACTGGTCACATGACATGGCAATCCCAATGTGGGTGTGCCCCCCACGGACAAAAAGGAATGCTCACAGCAATGTCATCTGTAAAGGCCCCAACTGGGAACAGCCCAAATGTCCACCAACAGAGGAATGGATACATAAATTTGAACAGTCATCCAAAGAAATACTGTAACGTAGTGGCCCTTGAACATTCTGGTCTCAGAAACCCTTCGTTCTATTAAAAATTACGGGGAATGACAAAGCACTTTTGCTGATGTGGGTTACGTCTACTAACGTTTACTACTGTACAAATTTAAACTGAGAAATGTTTAAACCACAATGTAACTCCATTGAGTGAGAGGTAAAACAGTAAGTAGTGTCTTAGCATTATGACAGTAACAGTTTTGACCCCACGGACCCTGTGAATGGGTCCCCTCTGAAAGAGACCCCTCAGACCACTTTATAATCCACTGTGCGTAACAATGAAAATGAATGAATAATATAAACTTCACAAACGTAATACTGAGTAAAACAAGTCACACTCTGAAAAAGGAAAACATATGCATGATCCCGTTTACATGAAGCACAGAAACCAAGAAGACAATTCTGCGGGGACCGGAGGGCCCACAGGGAAGGCTGGGACAACTCAGGCCTGTGAGCTGGGGGGCGGCACAGAGGTGCAGTCACTCTCTGATCAGTGAACTGTTCCTTGTCACAGCTGGAATCATAAAGTCATCCCCCAAATCCAAAAAACATACAGCTGAACTTTATAAAATGCTAGTTTTTCTCATTTAATCTGTTAATGTGGTAAGTCTTATCGACAGGTTTCCTGTAATAAACCAGTGTCTAACCAATACTGTTCCAGGACTGAAAGCGGTTTGGCCTCAGAAGGAGCTAGTGTCCATCCCCATCTTTCTCTATTCTCTGAAGCAGTTCACATACTAAACCCATTACTGTTTATTACTATTGCTGATTTATTTAGATTTGTTCCTATTATCTTATTCCGTTTTCCATTTGGCCACACTGTCCTTGTGATTCTACTTTTACTGGTTTCTTGATTCTTTTTGTTGGCTTGCTATCCATTTAATTCTTTCCTTTATACCAATGTATAGAGTTACTCAGTATTACTCAGCATCCAGATTCTCTCTGGAAGAGGAGAATCCAGAAACCGAGTCAGCTCTATATGCCATATGGTGTTCGATAAAGGCGACGTTTTAAATCTTCAGGGGAAAGAAACGTCAGTCAATAAATGGTGCTCACATAATGTGGCTATAACCATTTTGAGGGAAGCCATGGGACCCTGACCTCACATTTTGCCTAAAAAGCTTTACTGAGATAGAATTCATATACCATAAAATACACCCATTTTGAGTATATCTACCTCATATTTTATCCCAAAACAAATGTACATGAATCAAGTACTTATACATAAAAAATGAAACCAATGAAGTATAAGAAGACAGCTTACACAAATTTATTAAAAATCACCAGTGAAAAAGAATGTGTATCTTATTTAGAACCCAGAAATCATAAATAGACTATTACCCGTGGCTTCCAACACAAGACAAGACACCCCCCAAAATTCTGAGAGCTGGAAGGGAAGTCTGTACCTACAGAGCACAGCACTTTGACTCAAAATGTAAAAAGTTAATCCACGAAATTATACATTTCAAGCAGGTCACTATTTCAATGAGATCACCTGGAACTTCTCTGCCTACCATTAGTTTTAGGAGACCTCATCAGATACAAAAGCCCATCTTATATAAAGATGGTCCAAAATTCTCTCAAAAAAGTATGATACAAAAAACAGTCCAATCACACCCATCTCCAACCAACCACCTGATTCTCAACTCCTCCTTCTCCTCCTCATCTACTTCAACCCCCCCCAAACTAAGAGCGTAAACACACACCCAGTGGTCAGCATCTACTCAGGAACTGTGTTCTACTCGGGCCTGCCCCTACAACTCCTGAAGACCCTGCCCAGTGCTGAGCCCCCAGGGCCACCTGCAGACAGTGACTTGTGATTGAGCCAGCACCTGCCCCCTCCCAGAGCACATCCTCGCGTAGACATGAGTGAACTGTGTGATGAGGACACACCAGGCACACCGAGATACACCTGGTGTGAGCAGACTGCACACGACCGCTCTGCAGGTCCAGTCAGCAGCCCTGGAAGCTCACCCCAACCAGGAGCAAGAGCCCCTCCCAGCGTCAGTGCCTCACGTGCAAGGGGATGCACCTGTGGTGCGCCTAGGACTGAACAAGGTCAGTCACACCAAGGCCAGTGACAAGCAGCTGCCACTGGCACACAGTCAGCCCTCAGTGTATGCCTGTCCATCTAGAACCTAAACAAGCTCCAGACGTTTACTTCAAAGAGTGCTGTACAAGACAGCAAACACTCCTCTGATGAAAATAAATCTACAACTTCAAGATAAACAGAATGCAAACACCCAAGTCAGAAGGAAGACAGGGAAATGACTGCGGCAGAGAAGGGCCAGACCGCCCCTCACAGGACCAACGACCCATCATCTGTAGTCCCTCCCCGAGGGGGTGAAAAAGGCCTACCTTCTGGGTGCGGTCGGTTTCTGACACACTGCCCCCCTTAGAGGTCCTGCTGTCCTCTGTGGGAAATGCAGCAGCCTGCTCGGCCCCCTGGTCCTCATCCTCATCAAGCTCCTCCGACTCGTCCTCCTCTGAGTCCAGCTCCAAGCTTTCCCCATTCACGTGAAGGGTGCTGGCGCCCAGGTCCTTGTCACCCTGGAACATGGGAAAGAGCACACTGTCACGAAGAACCCCAGCATCAGGAGCAACCTGCCAACTCCTGCCAGGGCATGGCCTGCAAGGTGGGATGCAGCGACTCTGCCACTGGGGGAAGAGCCAGGAAAGGGTGAGGGATGAGGGGTCAGGGAGCACTGGGAAAGAGGCTGCGCCCCAGAACGAGGCACCTCAGAGCCTGGGTTCCTTCAAAAGGGACCGAGGTCATCAAATTACAGACAACCTCACGTGGTGCTCTTGTGGCCAGAGAGGTCCTGACACAAACGTGGATTTCCAAGCACACATACAAACAACGCAGGCATGCCTTACCTTGGAACCCACAGTGGAATGAGTTATACTCTTAAACATCTCAATCACCGTCCTCTGTTTTAATACTTTGGTCTTTTTCTTAGGAACCAGGCTATAGGTTCCCATTCTTCGTTTTTTCTTCCGAGATACTGCAGCTGCTAAAACAAAAGGCAAGCAAGCTAAAAAAAAAAAAAAGTCAAAAGGGGACAAGAAAGGAAAAGAAATACCATTCAAATGTTTTTTAAAGGTAGGTGATAATTCACAAAATCTGATTACCAAAATCATCAGCATGCCACAACAGTGACAGGCATTTCTCACTTGTCCTAAGTTGCACAGAGAAAACTGACAGTACCTTACAGATCATCTGCTTTACTCACAATAAAACACTAAGCTGTGTGGACGGCCAACATGATCACCCTGCTATAAGCAGGAGAAGTGCAAGGGAGAACTCACCGATCATCAGAAGCAGGGCCCTGGAGCACCTCCCACACCCAGTCCCCTGCCTCGGGACGGTCCCGTCCCCAGGAACAGTGTGGCTGCAAGAGTGAGGCTAAGGAGGGACAGTGGCCTCACTGCCAGTCACTGGGGATAGGCCTCATCTGTCCGCCTGACAGACTTCTCACCCACGACAAGGAGTAAATTGCAGAGTCTCCAGATGTGTCCACCTCTAAAGTAAGTGTAGCCACGCAACACTGGCCAGTCTGTCCTCTCCTGGACCCTTTCCCCAGCACCTTCCACCTTGCCCAGCAGTTCACCAACTGAGGGGAAAGAAATCCTTGAAGCAAACTATGCAGGTACAAAAGGTCAAGGAAGACACAGCACAGGGAAAAGCAAATAGCTGGGGGTCTGGGGTTTCCAGACAAGCTGGGGCTCCTGGGGACTCAGGGCTCTCCACCCTGTTCTAGATAAAGCAGCTCCAGGTTGACTGGCTTTATAGAATGAGGCTCTCTATAATATTTTATTTTTTAAAAAGTTCCAGGGTTTTAAAAAATCTGAAAACCACTTAACAGAGGCACTGTACTAAAGGACTGCAGAACCTATGCTCCATTCTGTTCTCACTCTAAGAAGTGGAAGAAAAGAGCGCTGGAAGAGCATGCATGAGCGTGAACTACACCATGACAAGGGCCACACAGACAGCCCCGTGAGCACGGGGTACCGAGGACACCAGGTGTGCCTCAACCCCAGGCTGAGGGCCACACAGGACATCCAGGACAATCACACACGCAGCCCTGCACTGTGTTCACTGGGGTGGCTCTGGGCACATAAATGGTCACGAGGAAACGCAGCTCTGTCCATCTCATGCTAGAACAGTGTGACTGGGCGCCATGCAGGGATGTGCCCAGGCAGGGATGCGCATCCTGTACAGTCACAGGACGGAGAGTAAGATGCGCTTTGCAGCCCCTCAGTGAGTCTGCGTAGCCTTCCTGTTTGTGTTGCGGCAGGATGGGAAGCTAACAGAACCTCTGGGGCCATGACCACAGTAATTTAAAATACTAATAGGGATGATGTGAAATCTAAACTCGAACAAGGTGGCTCCAACACTCCCTCCACCCCCCAAGGGAAGACAGCAGGGCAGGGCAGGGGAAGGAGTGAGGTTTGAAGAAAGCAGACCAAGTGGTCTAGAACCTGGACACAGTCACGGAGGGCTGTGTCCACACAAGCCCTGTCCATCCCAAGACACCTGACCAGCAGGTAGGCTTTCTGTATTTCCCACAACTCTGAAAGGCGCACCAGCGATTCTGTAATAAGGCAAAGCAGCTGTGATGACGCTTCCCTAGGAAAAAGGAGACACCTGCAGGCATGGAAGTTGTGATTTTTGGTACCCTTCCCGGGAGGTGACCACACCAGGAGTGCTTGACCTGCATGAAGACGTCACAGAAAGGGCCTTTCTGCACTGGGGAGAGTCACCTCATCTCTGTAGGAAGTGTGGCTATCTTAGAGGCTCCAGAGGGAGGCCCCTCGCTTGAGATACGCCACCCCAGCATCCTCCCTGTGGGGCCACTCATGCAGCCCCACCTCCTACAAAGGCCCCAACAAGGGATCAAATGTTCACCCATCCCCTCAACTGACCATGAACAGAAAGAAGCCAGCTCAAAAGATCGAGAAACACCCAGGGAAAGTGGCTGGTAACAGAACCAAAGCACCCTTCTCCACAACCTTAACTCAAAGGTCTCCACAATACACGGTGTGTTTCCAACAGCACTTAATTTATAAACAGAGGGAAGTTCTCAAATCTAGAGTCTTCTACCCTATTAGAACAAGGGGATAAGACTCAATGAAAACAACCTTCATTTTGAGCTTGACAAGCGTAGGAAGCAATGCAGGGATTAGTCAAGTTTTTAGAACAGAGGTCCGACATTCCTCTGCAGGTCTACAGGTGAGCACAGAAGGGCCAGGACTCCAACTGCCACGCATCTAGGGCACACACGCACTTAGTCAACACGCTTCTAGTTTGGCAAGGTGCGGGGCTGTAACCCGCCATCAGAGCAAAGACGGCTGTCGGGTCCCCCTGTTACCTGTCTGTGACTTTGTGTAGCACTGGTTTTGAGGTAGTGACTGATGGAGGGGCGGGAAGGGGGGTAAAAGCTGCTGTCGTCCAAAATCAGAAAGAGTTTTGTTGCTCTCCTCCTTTGGCTCCTCATGATCGCGAGCTTCTCGAGCTTCTCTGGGATCCTTACTGGCTGCATGCTTCAAAACAAAGACAATGAATAACCGTAATTACACACAAGCAGATGGCCACTGAAACAACATGCCCCCAAAATGCAGCTCTTTTCCTCAAAAACTTGCCGTGACCAAGAGAGGAGATGAAAGAGAGAAGACAAAGTATAAAGCCTGCTGTCATCACAGAGCCCCTGGCTCTGAGGCGCACGTACCCGGTCACCCCTCGGAGGATACGGGCCAGCGTCTACAAGCCAAAGATGGCGCTGACGGGGACAGGGAGCAAAAGGAAGCGGCGGCAGCAGTGACCAAATGCGGCACATGAACCCTGAAATAATGTCTACCTGGCCTGCGAACCGCTGACGTAGCTAAATGTATTACTAAGTAAGGTGCTTTCACAGTCTATCGCTTTCACAGCTGCACTGTGCAACAGCCCCCCACAACAGACTACATTTTTAAAGTTACCTTTTGTCTTCAGTCTCAGCCTTCCAAGACCCCGGCAGCCTGTAGTACTGTCATTAAAACCCTCATCCCTGTTAGCGGTGCTGCCTTCATTCTGGACTGCCTAGACACAACTAACCCTCTCCCCTCCACTGGCTTCCCTAAAATCACCTACAGCCCTGAGATAGCTGGATCTCATGTCAAATTCCATTTAACCAAGTTTTATCATACGCACAGTAGGGGCAATCAACAGTGAAGAAACAGGCATCCTTCAATAAATGGTGCTGGGAAAGGGGTATCTCCACATGCAAAAGAATGGAGTTGGACCCTTACCTTACGCTGCGTACAAATACTAACTCAGAATGGATCAAAGATCTAAAACTATAAAACTCGGGACGCTTGGGTGGCTCAGTCGTCGAGCGTCTGCCTTCGGCTCAGGTCATGATCCCAGGGTCCCGGGATCGAGCCCCGAATCGGGCTCAGCGGGGAGCCTGCTTCTCCCTCTGCCTCTCTATCTCTCATGAATAAATAAATAAAATCTTTAAAATAAATAAATAAATAAAACTATAAAACTCTAAGAAGGAGGAGCAAAGCTTCATGATGTTGAATTTGGCGATGATTTCCGGATAGGACACCAAAAGCACAGGCAACAAGAACAAAAAACCGATAAATCAGACTTGATCAAAATTAAAAATTTCTGTTCATCAAAGGACACAATCAATAGAATGAAAAGGCAACCTACAGATCGGGAGAAAATATTTGCATATCACATACCTGATAAGGAATTCATATCCAGAATATATAAAGAACTCCTACAACTCAACAACAAAACAAACAACCTGATTAAAAAATGGGCGAAGCATCTGATCTCACATTTCTCCAAAGAAGACATACACTACACACGTGAAGAGATGCTCAACATCACTGATCATCAGGAAAATACAAATCAAAACCATAATGAGGTATCACCTCACACCATTAGGATAGCAACTATTAAAAACAAAAGAGGGGCGCCTGGATGGCTCAGCTGGTTAAGCGACTGCCTTCGGCTCAGGTCATAGTCCCGGGATCGAATCCCGCACTGGGCTCCCCGCTCAGCGGGAAGCCTGCTTCTCCCTCTCCCGCTCCCCCCTCTTGTGCGCGCTCTCTCTCTCTCATTCTCTCTCCCAAATAAATATTAAAAAAAAAAAAAAACAAAAGAATACAACCCCAGAAAACTGTCAATTATACCCAATTAAAAACAAAATGTTGAAAAGGATGTGGAGAAATTGGAACCATTGCTGGTGGGAATGTAAAATGGTGCAGCCGCTGTGGAAAACAGTTCGGCAGTTTCTCAAAAAGCTAAACATAGAATTACCATGTGATCCAGCAATTCCACTTCTGGATATATACCTAAAAGAACTGAAAGCAGATCTTGAAGAGGTATTTGCACACCCGTGTTCACGGCAACGCTCCTCACAATAGCCAAGGGGTGGAAGCAGTCCCAGCGTCTACTGACAGGTGAATGGATAAACAAGACGTGGTCCGTCCACACCATGGATCATTATTCAGCCTTGAAAAGGAAGGAATCGCGACACCTGCTACAACGTGGATGAAGCTGGAGGACGTGGTACTGAGTGAGATCAGCCCGGCACAGAAAGACCAATTCTGTATGAGTGGAAACTCTCAGGAGACCGGAGGAGTCGGACCCACAGACTCGGGGGTGGGGGCTGGGAACAGGGTTTGATGGAACAGAGTCTAGCCTGGGAAGACGAACGAGTTCTGGGGACAGACAGAGAGGAGGGCCGCACAACAGTGTAAAGGCCCTTGATATCCCTGCCCTTAAAAGCGAGCCTACCTGGGAGGGTGGCCTGGATTCCAGCTCTTGGGGCGATAGCCTGGGGGACTTACTCACACTCAGCTCAGTGACCCTGTCTGTCGCTTGGTAGGGAATGTGGCCCAGTCCTGGAGTGCCCTTCCTTCTTCGCCCAACACCACCGTCTTCCCCACCACCTTCATAATTAACCTGCCCTAGGCACATAGAGCACAGTTCACATGTAACTTGTCAACTCTGTAAAATCCTTCAGTCTCTCTCAAACATACCAGGTTGTCCCTAAAGAAGTCACTGCTGGAGCAAAGGAGTCAGGTAATGTTCCTTTCTGTCTCCTGCAAACTACCCCCATTGACTGTGTGGCCACAATGACTCTCAGCCTCCAACATCTCTTCTTACAAGAAATGCAAAAGATGATTTTAAAGTATACATAAATGAGGGGCAAAAATTAAACCTGAGGAGGAAACAGTCATGTGAGGCTAATTCTCACTTAGACACAAAATCTTTAAGAGATTATTTCTGAAAACCTGAAAAAAAAAAAAAATCACGAGCTGCTGAACTTGGGTGAAGATGCTAGACTCTGTCAGGGCTCTACTCTCTGACAACAGCAAAAAAGATGAAAGACACGTCTACTTCCCATGGAGACAGCAGGCCGGCACCTGACTGCATGGAGGGGCACCCACTGCTGTGATGGAGCCCTGGGCACCCAGCCAGCCCCAGCCCCCCACACAGAGGGAGGTGGCCACAAACTGCTCTGGCCCAGGTGCCGGAGGTCTACAGGGTCTGGCCCTTGCTGGCCCTACCCACCACCCCACCCCACCCTGCCAGTGTTCTGTGCATCGGCTCTGCCCTTCCGCCAGGCGGCCAGTCCCGGAGCCACCAGCCAGACCCATGTCGGCTCAGTGTGAACACTCTTAGCCCAGCCTACTTCTCCTTCCAGATGCTTAATTCCAGTGGCAACGAACAAGGACTTGTACAGTTTCGGCATTCAAAACTACCTCTCTAACCAGGCCGAGAGCTCCAAGAACAAGGCCACATCTTTTGTCCAGAACCTAGAGAATACCAGTGGCAGCGGTTATGCGTGAAAGCGGATTGGGAGAATGGTGACAGGGATGAAAACGGAGAAGGCTAGGGGCGCCTGGGTGGCTCAGTCCGTTAAGCGTCTGCCTTCGGCTCAGGTCATGATCCCAGGGTCCTGGGATCAAGGCCCGAGTCGGGTTCCCTGCTCGGCAGGAAGCCTGCTTCTCCCTCTCCCACGCCCCCTGCTTGTGTTCCCTCTCTCGCTCTCTCTCTCTGTGTCAAATAAATAAATAAAATCTTTAAAAAAAGAAAAAAAGAAAAGGGAGAAGGCTGGAGGGCCACCATGCTGAGGCCCAAAGGAGTTTGCACAATTCAACTAGGGAGACAGTCTGCAACACAGGACACAGTAACAAACATTTCAATGCAAGGGAAAAAGGTTCCCTTCCAGAAGCTTCTGCTTTCTCTGCCCAAACAGTGAATGAGTTGCACCCTGTGCTGGTGCTTTTCTGACAGGACCAACACTGGGTGAGAAGGAGCCTCCACACTGCCAAGGGACATCAGCCATGCAGCAAGAACATGCCTTCATTTTTAAACTCTTACCAACAAAATGGTTTTATTATCACAAGCCTGCAATACTCATCACTGGAATGACTGATTTTAAAACACCATTTTCAATAAAACAAGGTCTCCCAAGAAAACCAAACGAGACTGAACTGGGTTCGGGGAGCAGGGAACTCCAAGGGCAGGAGAGGCCAGGTCTGGAGCCAGGGGGCTCCATATCAGAGGGGCCCTTGGGAACACCACTGCCTTGACTTGCCTTGACTTGTCACTACATCACTGTGCCCTCCGTCCTCCTATGGGGCCCCAGGGGCAGATGAAATTCCCAGGTGTGTCTTCAGGAAATCCACTTCTGAAGTCTCAGCACCCGCCTGTCCTCTGTCCCTACAGCTGACTCAAATGATATGTGTGACAATCAACTGCACATCATTAACAATTATAATAACTCAGCACACAGCTAACACTTAGATAAGCCTATACGGTCAGAGAAATTTCTTCAAGTTAAATTTCAAATTGCCTTTTTTTCCTCAGAGGAATATGACAGAGTGACAATAAAAGATCCCCAAGAATAAACATGTATTAGAATAAAATCCTGGAAATGAGAACAGAATAAAAGTATAATTTCAAGGAGACAGATAAATAACGTAAAGTTTCTGACTTCCATTTTAAAATTGATAATGGTAACCCAAAAAATGGCAGGCAAAAATAATGAATGTTATTCTAAACCTGATGTCTAATACAAAAACTAACTCAAAATAGACCATATATTTATAAAAATATAAAACTATAAAAATTTAAAAACTTCCTTAAAAATTACAGAAAAATCTTGGGACCCAGGGCTAGGTGGAGAGTTTGCAGACATGATGCCAAAAGCACAAGCCATAAAAGAAAGAAACACTGATGACGTGGACTTGGTCAGAATGAGATACCTGTCCTCTAGGAAAGACCCTACTGGGAGGGTGAGGACAAGTCACAGACCGAGAAAAGTCTGCAAATGGGTCCATGGTGAAGGGCTCATACCCAGAACTCTGAAAGCTCACAAAACAATTAGCTGTGAAATGGGCAAGAGGTATGAAAGACATTTCAAGAAAAAGGACATACAGATGGCAAATAAGCACACGAAAAGATGTTCAGCATCACTGGCCATTAGGAGTGTTCAAATTAAAACCATGATGAGGTGTCACAGCTAAAATAAAAACTAGCAGCGATGCCAAATGCCAGCAACGATGTGAGAAACCAAACTGCTCATATCCTGCTTCTGGGAATGTAAAATGTTGGGAATCTGGTTTGGCAGTTACTTACAAAGCTAAATATCCAATTAACATATGACCCGCAATTATATTCCTGGATATTTAACCCAGGGAAATGAAAATTTCTGTCTAAAGAAAAATCTGAGCAAAGACAAGGGGCGCCTGGGTGGCTCAGTTGGTTAAGCGTCTGCCTTCGGCTCAGGTCATGATCCCAGGGTCCTGGGATCGAGCCCCGCATCGGGCTCCCTGCTCGGCGGGAAGCCTGCTTCTCCCTCTCCCACTCCCCCTGCTTGTGTTCCCTCTCTGTGTCTCTCTCTTCAAATAAATAAATAAAATCTTAAAAAAAAAAAAAAAGAAAAATCTGTACATAAATGTCCAGAGCAACTTTAATGTAACAGCCCCAAACTGGAAAACCCCCAAATGCCCTTGAACCTGTGAGCAATTAAGTTCTGGGACATACACACCACAGAAAAGCCCTCAGCATGAAAAGGAAAGGAGCCACTGACACAATGTGGTCGGTCCCACAGGAACAGAGTTGCTCTCAAAGGCCCCACCTTCTTACAGAACACCTGACGTGACCCGGCTGTGGAGATGGGAGAACAGGGCTTGGGGACATTGGGGACAGGGTGGGTGGGGATGGAGAGAGGCACTGGGAGCTGTTCAGTGCTGGGTGTTCACAGAAATCTACACTGTGCTCTAGCGGTGTAAAATGTTACCCTGGGGGAGACCGGGTGAAGGGTACATGGGGTCTCTCTATACTATTTGTGCAGCTTCCTGTGAATTCCTAATTATTAAGAAGGTTTTTTCAAGTTGTGCAACATACACAAGAATACCGCAAACGGTGGAAACGAAGTCAGGGCCAGGCAGACCAGGAGGGGTGAGGCCCACACGGTGAGACACGGGAGTCGGGCTGCCGAGCCCTGGCTATCCTAAAACAGGGATCCCACGGCAGCTCCAGGGGCCCAGCACCGCACCCTTGGTCCCCACAATCACTGCCAGCAGCTACGGGAAATGCAGTGGAACTCACAGTCAGGCAATCAAAACCACAGAAAGAAAGACGAGCACACCTCTGGGGAGAAACATCAACACAAACTCTCACCTGAGGAAGCAGGAGTCAGAGCAGAGACAATAAAAGAATTGTAACTAACGTCTTTTAAAGGGTAAGACAAAATGTAACTAAATAAACTAATTAGAGATACTGGAATCATCAATATATAGAATGAATAGCAAGAATGTAAAGCGCTAAAGAAGAAATCAAAGCATGTCAAGAGCTCCACAGAAAGAAAAACTGCACAAAGCATTTTTCTAGAACTGAGGAAAGACATACATCTCAGACTGACAGGGCCCGTGGGCAGAGGCCTGTTCGTGCAGCCCTGGAAGGTTGCAGAGAGGAAACCGCACATGACCTACTAATGCCACACAGTCAGACTAGCTTTAGTATGCTCACCAGGAATGCCAGGTACAAGAAATCCCAAGGGAACACACCTAACAGACCAGAACTCATCCCCAGCCAGATCAACATAGAACTGGGAGGGAAAAACACGACTGTGGGGACGCTTGGGTGGCTCAGTGGGTTAAGCGTCTGCCTTCGGCTCAGGTCATGATCTCAGGGTCCTGGGATCGAGCCCCGCGTTGGGCTCCCTGCTCGGCGGGGAGCCTGCTTCTCCCTCTGCCTGCCGCTCTCCCTGCTCGTGCGCTCTCTCTCTCTGACAAATACACAAATAAAATCTTTAAAAAAACAAACAAACAAAACATGACTGTGGACATTCTGAGAAAACGCACCAGGCACAGGCACAGAATGCCCGCCGATGGCAAAAGCCGCCTCACCCAGCACGATGCTGGGTTCTCGCTGCCTGTTCCCTGCGCCCAGGAGCCTGGCATGAAAGCAGAGGCATGGGCATGTCTTCAGTGTGCCCTTGTCCCCTCCTTCTGTCACATCAAGAACCTAACCAACTTCATGGCTACTTATTTCCTGATAGAATCGGCGCTCAGTCTCCCCGAGCTGCAATGAAAGCCCCCAGGCCCAAAGCAGAAGAGGAGAGGTCTCTGTGCAAGCACGTGATGCATCTTGTCTTAGTGGGCAACAGGCACCCAGAAGCAGCACAAAGCCCAGAAGTGGGCTGAGAGGGGTCGTCTGCTCATCGTTCACGCCTGAACTGTCAGCAGCCTCTCCTAACCTTCCCAGGCCCAGAGACAACCACCTGCTGTCTCTGCCATTTACTGCCATTTACTGGCCTTTCTCCGTCACGCACGGAGTCCATCTGCCGTCACTGTGACAGAAGAGAACACAGACAGGAAGGAAACAACACGACAGACACGAGAGCAACCCCATCCCGACAGGGATCGCATTACCAGGCCCAGGATGGATTTTGGCATGGTCTTCCGTGCCCTGTGAACCTTGACGTCGGCACCAGGGGCCATGGGCTTCTTGTCCTCTGCGTCTTTACTTGCTTCCCCGAGCTTGGCCGGCGCTGTGGCTGGCGTCTGAGAAAAAGCACTGGGAGTCCTCCCTTTGCCAGAACCTCCGGGAAGGGTTTTCGCAGCATGACCAGGAAGCGAGGAAGCCAAAGTGCTGGTAATCCGCATGGGCTGCTCCTGCAGGGGTGGTTTATTCAAGAAGTACCCATTGCTCCCGATGACAGAAGTCTGTGTGAAGTCATCTGTGTTGATGTGGTTTTGCTTCCCCGTTTCACTGTCTCTTTCTGAAACCCCATTTTCAGCTATCCGAGCTAGTCTGTTGGTCCCTTCCTGTGGGCTGACCACCGTGTTCTCCTGAGTCTGCTGTGCTGCAGTCACGTGACCACTAGCCTCGCTCTTTCCACAGGACCCGTTGGCTTCGCTGTCTGCGGCCACAGGGGCCTCTCCGCCCTGCTTCTCTGCTGAGCCTCCATCGGCTGCCATAGAGAGCTCTGTGAACAGAGGAGACCCACACACAGTTACCATTCCTTGAGTGGTTTACATAAAACTATCCAAGGAAAAATCATCTCATTTCATGTACAAAGATTTAAGTTCAAATAGATTATATATAAAATGATGTCTTAGGGGCGTCTGGCTGGCTCAGTCAGAAAAGCATGCAACTCTTGATCTCAGGGTTGTGAGTTCAAGCCCCATGTTGGGTGCAGAGCTTACTTAAAAATAATAATTAAAAAATCTAAAGAAGAGTAATAATGAAATGATGTCTTAGTCACTAACTTTGAAAATCAATTGTTAAAGTTTGGAGAAGGCCAAACCCTGAACAGGGCAATCCGCCCGGAGCTTGGTGTGCCAGCTACCCTTCCATCCTGTGTGCGAGGTCCAGCCAGGGCCTATAGTCCTACCTTGGGGGACACAGTCTAAAACCAGAAGCACAAGATAAAGACTCCCCATTTGTTGAGTACATTAATTTTTAAAAGATAGCAAGATCTTGGGCGCCTGGGTGGCTCAGATGGTTAAGCGTCTGCCTTCGGCTCAGGTCATGATCCCAGGGTCCTGGGATCGAGTCCCGCATCGGGCTCCCTGCTCCGCGGGAAGCCTGCTTCTCCCTCTGCCTCTCTCTCTGTCTCTCATGAATAAATAAATAAAATCTTTAAAAAAAAAAGATAGCAAGATCTCAAAACCCATTACACAGATTTGCACATCCACCAGGCACAAACACACCACCGTAAAATAAAACTGAGCATGGTTTAAAGACAGAGAAGCAAGGCCTCAGAAGTACCCTCACAAGAACAAACGTAAAGAAAATGGGTAACAAACCAAGAAAAAGGGTCATATTTTCAGTACATCAGCCAGAAGGCCCATTACAAATACCCGACTACAAGCCTATTCTCTATAAAAGCTCGGTCTCTGAGGACAACTTGACAGACCTTTTCCAAAACCAGTCATAAATAAATGTATTTTATATCAGAAGATCTACAAATAATCTAACCTCACTGAGAGATTAAAGCAGAAAACCCATGATTACACCACTGGATGCAGAAAGAGCTTCAGTCAACTTCAAGACTCCACCCGTCCCAGTCCCTTTACTCTACTGGCTCCCACAGGAGACCCCATCATTATGATATTAACCATCTGTTCCTCTGCCCTAGAGTGTGAGGTCTGCAAGGACAGAGTTTCGTCTGTTTGTCCACTATGTGCCCCGAGACAGAAACAGGGCCTGGGACATAGTATGAGTGCAGCAAATACTTTCGAAATGAACACAGTTATTAATTAAGGATTTTTTAAAAAACCCTCAGCAAGACAGAATAGGCAGGTCCTTACTTGGATGGAGTTGGCAAAGACCACACACCACGATCTGCAGGAAACATACGCTTATTCAGAAATAAGTGAATTTCAGGGCACCTGGACGGTTCAGTGGGTTACAGTGTCTAACTCTTGGTTTTGGCTCAGGTCATGATCTCAGGGTCCTGGGATCGCTCAGTGTGGAGTCTGCTTAAGTTTCTCTCTCTCCCTCAGCCCCTCCCCCTGCTCGCACGCAGATGCATGCACTCTCTCCCACGCGCGCGCTCTCTCTCTCTCTCTCAAATAAATATATAAATAAAATCTTAAAAAAGAAAGAAAGAGAATTCAATGTGAGATCAGAAATGCCCCAAACATCTCACACAAAAACAGATGCACCGGCTGGCACAAGAGGGAACACAGAAATGAGAGGCACTGGAGACAAAGGGAAGAACTCTGGCCTCTGCACCAAAACCATCATTTACTTTAAAAATGCAATCAATCAGCAATTAAAACATAAGAATACAGGGAGACTGCTGACTTCAAACTCAAGCTACAAAACTCAAGGGCATTTTCCTGCACTGGCATTAACTTGAAAATATGAGAGGGGAAAAAATACTATTTGCAAAAGAGGGAAAACTATAAAGAATACAAAATTTTAGACAAGATTACTCAAGGCCTCTGTGGAGAAAAAGATTTTAAATGAAAACATGGTCTTAAACGGGATGACAAAAGTATGAAGTGTCAAGCTGCCTCTAATTTAATCCGTAAGTTCAGTGATACCCAATCAAAATTCCATCAGTCTATGAGAAACTCCACCACTTTGTTCTAAAACGTAGAGGGACAGATTTTCCCAAACAGCAAAGCAAATCATGGAAAAGAAGAATAAAGGCACAGGAAGACAGAATCCCTGAATCAGAGAAGGATGCAACAGGCCTCCCCACAGCACCACCACAAGGGGGCTGGGGTGTCCAGTAGGCACAGCGGGGTCCAGGACAGCAGCCCAAGGCAGCAGGGCACAGACTGCTGGCTAGAAGGCAGATTTCCCAGGCCACGCCTGGACCTACTGGTTCTGAATCTCTGAAGCTGGGTTCCACACATCTGGGCCTCACCGAGACCTCTGGAGGCTAATCCACACATCTGAGTCTGGGAAATACTTGTCCTAGGTAGTCTGAAAAACTCAAAAGTTAACAAGGGAAAATGCAGAAAACAGATCTGTGGCCTAGAAACAGGGAAATTTTGTTACACATCAAAAGCATAAGTTATAACAGAAACAAGGAAAGATAAATGTGATTACATAGTGTGATGTAACAAGATACAGATATCTGGTCTCTGCCCGTGGCTCCTGACAGCTCCTGAGGTGACTCTGGATGGTCACCAGAAAAGACGAAGCCACAGTCAGAAGCTTGGCACTTTCAGCCCTACCCCCAGCCTCCAGAGAGGGGAGAGGGGCTGCAGACTGAATTAATAATCCATCACGCCTACGTGATGACGCCACCACAGAAATCCCTAAACTATGGGGTTCAGAGAGCTTCCAGGTGGGTGAACACACCCACGTGGGGAGGATGGTACACCCAGAGAGGGCACAGAAGCTCCGTGACCTTCCCCCCCACACCCCGCCCTATGCATCACTTCCACTGGGCTCTTCCTGACTCATGCCCTTTATAACAAACCAGTGACAGCGCATACATGTTTCCCAGAGTTCTGCGAACTCGAGGAAGGGGTTGTGGGAACCTCCAATTCATAGCCAGTTCCTTGTGCAGCAAGTTGTGTGCACCCTGGGGACCCTCTACTTGGGGCTGGCATCTGAAGTGGGGAGAGTCTGGTGGGACCGAGCCCCTAACCTGTGGGGTCAAAAGTGAGTTGACTTGCAGGCTGCCCAGCAGGTGTCACAGAGAGCCGGAGGCATGCCGGACGTGGGAAAGCCCACCACGTGGGGTCAGCTTGCTGTGAGAGGCTGGGTAAAGAAGGGAACGGTACTCTTCCTCTCAGAGGCCCGAACGGTGGCTGTCTACCATTGCTACTGATACCCATTATTCTGAAGGTTCTGGCCAGAGCAATCAAGCAAGCAAGAAAAAGTAACAAAGGGCATTCAGGTCAGAAAGAAGCAGCAAAATTTATTTGTAACTGATGTGATCCTGGGTAGAAAATCCAAAGTAATCTACAAACTACGGGAACCAATGACTGAGTTTTGAAAGATTGATTATAGAAATGAACCTATAAAAATTAACTCAAAATGGAGAAAAAACATAAATGTAAAATGTAAAACTATGAAACTTGGAGGAAAAAAAAAAAACAAAAAAATCTTCAAGATCTAGGGCTAGGCAAGGCGTATTATCCTTGACACCAAAGCACAATCCCTAAAAGGAAAAGTGATAAATTGGACTTCATCAAGATTAGAAACTCCTCAAAATTTAAACAGCAAATCTAACCAGCACAGAGATCCCACATGACACCCATTGATGGGTGTAATTAAAAACTCGGGGGCACCTGGGTGGCTCAGTTGGTTAAGCGACTGCCTTCGGCTCAAGTCATGATCCTGGAGTCCCGGGACTGAGTCCCGCATCGGGCTCCCTGCTTGGCAGGGAGTCTGCTTCTCCCTCTGACCCTCCTCCCTCTCACGCTCTCTATCATTCTCTCTCTCTCAATAAATACCTTTAAAAAAATAAAAAATAAAAAACTTGGACGAGGACAGGATGTCACTGCCATACACACGTCTATTGCTGACGTTCACGTGGTGGTCTCAGTGGCCACGGCCAGTGCTACCTGCACGCGAGCAGGGGCCTAGCTGCCAGTCTGACAGCCTGGGTGACCTGAACCCAGCAGTGCACCCTGTCTCAGCTCCCCCTCCTTAGAAGAGAGACAGAACCACACATCATTGGGCTGGCATGCAGCCAGAACACCCAAAGTGCTTGCAGCAGCGCCCAATGTCAGTGAGGAGGACAGTGCCATGATCTCGGGCAGGTTCCTCCTGTGCTAACCTTATGGGCAGCTGAGAGGATGACGGGATGATATGTTGCTCATCTGCTCAGCTCCAGCGGCCACGCAGCAGTGCAGGGCTGCTCGCCCATCTCCCCTGACAGACACAGCCAAGCGAAACCCAGTGTCTGCACCAGTCCCAAGCCATCAGCCTCATGGGGTCCAGTCACGATGCGGCTCTCCAAAATGAACTTCTCAGCAGCCCCCATGTGGCTTGTGTGACACGGTGGGACTCACCTGTCACGGTGTGCTCCACAGCCCTAACCAACAGAGTAGAGTGCCTCCCACTACAGCTCCTCACAGGGCTTGCCCTCTCCAGCCTCCCTGCACCTCCTGGCAAATATGCTGTTTTCCCAGCCTCTGGTTTTACCTTGTCCAAAATGTCATACAAATGGAGTCACAAAGCACATGGCCTATGGGTCCGGCCCCCTTCACTTAGCAAAACAGGCTCAGTATCACCTGTGTTGCTGTGAGAATGAAGCTGTTCCTCCTCCTGGTTTGCTGAGAGCCGCCCACCACCGTATGCGCCACAGGTCGTGGCTTCAGCTTTGAGTGATAAGAACAAAGCTGCCATAAACATCCACGTGGCCCTTCTCACTCTGAGTTTTCTGGGTGCACTTAAGACAAGGATCTACCAGATGTTTGCTTTTCACTTTTTGGTAAAGGTTCCCTTCTCTAGCAGATCTTACGTGTGTGCCATTGTGTCCATCTGGGAATGGGAGACGGGAAGCCATACAGCAACCCAGGTGAGAGCAAACAAGTCAGGAGCCGGGGACGGGTGAGGAGATGCCGGAGCGACAGGTCTTCTGGCCACTTCTCCTGCAGGAGCAAACTGCACCCTTACCTTCCCTCAGCAGCTCTGTTTTCACGCAGCAATCCTGCTTCGTCTCCCCCTTCGCCGGAACTGCCTGCTAAAGAAGAAACAGCCATCAGCCTCCATTCACCGGCAGGCAGACTAAGCAATTCTCCACCATGATTTCTCTAGATGGACGTTGTATCTGGATCCAGATAAAAACTCACTATCAGATGAATGGACAGCTAGGGGATATTCAAGCCGGCAGATAACAGTCACCTCCAGAAGGAGGAATGACATTCAGAAACCAGCCTGAGAAAACTTCTATCTTATCTGTATTTTTGGAGATAGTTTTTTAATAATAAGAATGTATTCATGCATTACTTACATAATTAGAAATCTCAAATATTTTGGTTGTTATAGGAATGCTACAAATTATATCAAAGTGCATTCTACTGCTGACAAGAATTCATCTAAGTATTTCAAATGTCTAACAACCTACAAAAAATTGCAAAAAGGGATAAACCAAGAAAATTCAATAAAAACATGAATCATTAAATATTTACATGGAGGCATGAATTACAAAAGGTCTCTTGGATCGCTTTTTAAAGCTTCTTGCCTTTTGGAGGCTTAGAGTCTGGCTGGAGAAATGAATGTAAACACACAAAACATTCCTGACTGGGTCCCTCCAGAGGCAGCGGCAGCCATCACCATGAGTCCATGGGGGAAGGAAAAGGGGGGAGACGCAGACCCTCCAGGCTCCCCACTTAAGAGTTTCAGAATCTAAGGGCACAACTCCCATAACGCCTGTCTAACATCTCGAATGCATTCTCCAAAAGACACCACAACACATTCCCAGAACATTCCTACAGAACCTACAGAATCATCTCCCTGCTGATTTCACTGACGCCAAGTGTGGGGTCCAAGAGCAGTGACAGTGCCCTACCCTGTCGCCCTGGACCACCAAGCCACCTCAAGGTCGCAGAGCAGCCTCCGGTCCCATGAAGCCCCTCCTTCCTCAGTGCTTCCAGAATGCTCCCACCTGCAGCTCCTAAACGGACCTGACTTCATCTCCCCAGGTACACAGGACAAGAGAGGGCACGAGCATGGCCCAGCTCCTCCTGCGGCCCTCCCACCTTTCCCTAGAGCATCACGTGTGGCCCCACTGGTGGCTGTCAAAGTGAATCCCCTTTCAAAGGCGGACCCCCTTCTGTAAGCCCTCTCTTAGCCACTCCTGCCACAGGAAGCCAGAATTCACAGTGCCAGGCACCAAGGAAAAATCCAGGGGCTCAGAGACTTCCTCCCAGAAGATGGGGAATACTTCCTTGCAGGCATCAGACTTGGATGCGTCCCTCCTCAAACCCCAGGGTCTTCCCAGCTCACCAAGGAGAAACAAGTGTTCACTGTCGGCAGAAAGCCACAGAGCCCAGCCTCTGCTCCCCCTTCCACACTTTGACCCCAGCCTCCAGCCCCTGCACCCTGCAGCCTCTCAACAGGCCAATCACCTTATCAGACAGCCTCTCCTGGACCCTGCCTTGTTGCCCCCTTGGTGCCCCCAACCATCAGACACACCACCCAGCCTGTCTGTCCGCCCCACCAACACGCAAACTCTGGGTTCCACAGGAGAAGCCTGTCCTGTTCTCTGACATAGCCCCAATGTGTCGGCAATGAGCGGCATGCAGAAGGAACCGATGAGCATGTGGTAACAATCACTGGGGCCTTTCTAAGAGGACCCAGTAAGAAAGGCCACTGGGTCCACTTCCATGTCTGTTTCCCGCACGGCTATACGCCTGGGTGGATTCTCTGCAACAGCCGAGATGCACAGCCAGGATCTGCTGCATGAATGAAGGAGGATGAGTGAGAGCAGAGCAGGGTACTGCTAGTGTGCACATCTAGAAGTCCAAAGGCCCAGAGGCTGAGCCCACGTGAGCTCAGCCCACGACCAGAGCGGAAAGAAGAAAACCCTCACAAATTCAGTGCACTGAGCCTACGTGTACTAGCAAGAAGGAACGTGGTCTTCATCACCATTTCAAAAGGGCTAAAAACCTACAAAATCAATACCAACCAAGAGAGGGTTGAAGATGGAATACGAAGCCCAAACCAGTAACAAAATCCTGTACTGGCAACAGCAGAACCAAGCAGAACTTCTGCACAGACTTCAAGTCCTGCCACTCTCCAGCTCGGGGTGGAGGCTATGGAAATCCTGACAGTACAAGGTGGGTGGGTGGGTGGCCTGAGTCTAACAGCAGGATGAGGGTGGGGATACTGGCTTTAGATCTAGGAACATGGTAGGGAGGAAGGAAGCTGACCCCAGCATGCACAGCTGAAGCTCTGGTGGTTGTCAAAGTGAATCCCCTTTCAAAGGCGGACCGTCCCCCTTCTGTCCCAGCAGCAACCAGCACACCATGCACAGACGTGGGTTCCTCTTTACCATTCCCCACCAAGAGAACTGAGGCTCCTGGAAGACGGAACCAGTTCCAGGGGGGAGCGAGGAAAATTCAAGACTCTCAAGACTCCTAGAGCACCAGGTGCCGAATCGCACAGTTGTCCACCGTCGTATCTCCAGCCCTGAGATTTCCCCACCAGCTGAGTAGAAGCTTTTTGTCCATCTCCAGCTCCAGATGGCTACACCTGGGCTGGCAAAAACACAGCCTGGGTGCTGGGCGGATGCAGATCTGAGGTCACCAAGGAACCACTACTGAGACAGCTTCACAGAGCTTCCCTACACAAGTTTCCATCTTTAATCAACTATCAACGTTTAAAAGTAAGAGAGTTTAGGGGCGCCTGGTGGCTCAGCTGGTTGAGCATCCAGCTCTTGGTTTCGGTTCAGGTCATGATCTCCAGGTCCAGAAACTGAGCCCTGGGGTCAGGAGATGGAGCTGGGCTGGCTCCGCGCTCAGCAGGGAGTCTGCTTCCCCTCCCCCTGCGTGCATTCTCTCTCCGAAATAAATAAATCTTAAAAAAAAAATTAAAAGTAGGACAGTTTACAAAGAATCTGGATTTACAGAGTGTGGAGAAACGAGAAACTGTGGCAACACTGGCAGAGCCCAAGGATGGGCTCTTGGACTCCCCACGGAGCTAAGCCTTTGATACCCCTACACGTGGACCCAGGAAAACCCTCTCCTGCCCTGGCCTGCCTCACCTGCCCCCATTATCTGCCTGCCCTCTAAGCTTATCAGCACCTGACTTGACCCAGGGTCTGGTCTTGGCCATACACCTGACTTGACCCAGGGTCTGGTCTTGGCCATACATCTCAGCAAGGTGGACAGAGGGCCACAGCATCTAACCCCCGTGCCCGCCTGACCTCCCACAGTCAATTCAGGGCCAGGCCCAGAGTGCTCAGGTCTTGCCCCATCTCCCAGCCCATCACAGCTGCATCCCAACCACCTCTAGCTTGCACCCACTCTCAAATAGTTCTCTGGGGTCCCAAGACCCTTCCACGGGTCCAAGAGGTCAAAGCTATCTTCATTACTAGGACCCCACCTGCCTGTTTCACTGTGCTTCCTTGGGCACCTTAGCAGGAGTCAAGATGGTGGCACCAAATGAAACTTCTAAGTGATTGAATTCTTCGATGCTACACACTCAGGGAGGTAAAGCCAACTTCACCTGAGAATGCCCTTGGTGAAGCAGTGAGATTAGCCATCTCCCCATAGGCCTTCTCATGAAGGCAGCGGCAGAAAGGCAAGCAAGCAGCAATCCAGGGCTGCTGACCGCTCAGGAAAGGCCCAGGGCAGCGGCTGGGCTGTGTCACTCACTGGGCACCTGCATTTGGAAGAACTGGCAAGATCTACGGCTACACAGACTGGGCATCTGCCAAACATTTTCTCAAAATAAACACAGTGAGCCCGTGACCTCAAAGAAAACCAACGGTATGTGCTGCCAATGTAAAATTCTGGCTTCTGAGTGGAAATGAGAATTTTGGTAAATGTGTGTCTGCCTCCATGAGCTTGACAGCTGCCCAACACTTAAATATACTTTTGATGACAGAGGAAATGTCATTAAGAGAATATGGTTTTTTGATATTGGATAATGAAATGTGCCAACATTTGGAAGACCTCCCTAACTTAGTGAGCCAGTGTTTCCCAAATGAGCAGTACCTAATCTTTAACACCACACATGGCAGAAGGTGCGTTAGGATGCAAGGCAGACGTGGGCTTAACCCTCACAGGGAAGGAAGGCCATCGGTGCTGCTTTGCCCTGTCAGGTTCTGGCACACTGCACCAAGCAAAACATCCGGAATTATCTAAAAGGCTCAAAATACACATGTCTATGTGAGGCCAGATCGTCTTCATGTACTGCAACCAAACAACACATCCCTTCAGTCAGAAGCCACACATGGAAGAGATAGAGCGATGCAGAGCACTGCCACTTTTCTGAGGTGGTTGTTTTAGAAAATAGTTATTCTTCATAGAAATTATTTACCTTAACATGTAAACAACATGTTACATGTTTACTTTTGTTATTTTTAAGAAAGTATGGGGTTTTTTTAAGACTCAGTTCTAATTTCTTTTTTGGTAAATACCAGCAGATAGACCCCACACAAACAAGAGCCCTCGGGGGTCCTAAATAGCTTTTAAGAGTGTCACTTGGCCTTGAAGCCAATGTCCCACACCAAGGACACCAAGCCTCCTATATCAGAGGCCTACTAAGAAAAAACACCTCCAGACCCCTGGGCTCTCACTGTCCCCGAGACGTACTCAGGACCAGCACAGCACAGCAGGCCTCCCCAGAACACTCACGAATGCACCTGTCTCCTATCCCCACTGTCAGCCACATGTCCCTGCCATGAAATTAAGTTTCATGACTTCTTCTCCCAAAAAACTGTTTTAAGATCATTATGTAACACACTTTCAAATAATGCCAGAATTATCCACTGTTTTGTTCTGGATCTATTCAACTGCATTCAGGCATCTTCTGACAAGCACTAACCAACATGCCAGGCCGTGGACAAGCCTAAGAGCTAAGGACAAAACATCAACATCTCTGCCTGATTTGTACGTCTTACTTTTAAAACCCAGCATCCTCCTTGCTCATTAAGTGACCACTGATGATGGCACAGGACAGGGGAGGAAAGAAAGGGGAGCATGGAGGAAGAGGAGAAGACCCCCAGGGTGG